TTTATTTATTTGACAGAGAGAGACACAGTGAGAGAGGGAACACAAGCAGGGGGAGTGGGAGAGGGAGAATCAGGCTTCCCGCCAAGCAGGGAGCCCGATGCAGGGCTCGATCCCAGGACCCTGAGATCATGACCTGAGCCGAAGGAAGACGCTTTAACAACTGAACCACCCGGGTGCCCCAAGATGGTGATTTCTAATTCAGCATTCCTTCTGCATTTAATAATTGGTTTTCTATAAAGAAGAACTTTCCTTCATCAGCTATTTTGTTTCCATGAAATGCAATTCATAGTAGAAAGAAAGCATAGTTTTTAATTCTTTCCCTCTACTTACCAAGTTTCAAAGCAATGAGTTAATGCTCTTTGTTTTTTGGTGCTCATTGGAAAACCTCTGATGGTAAAAATATTTACCAAGTACCTACTCTGTGTCACACAGACTGACTTCTTACTTACATCAGTGCTTTCTGGAAGTTATTATATTCATTCATTTACTCAATGAATATTTATTAAGTTCTTACTATGTGTGCCAGGCCCTGTTCCTGAAAACATAATCTAATTATTTTTATATTCCACATGTGCCTTACAGGTAAGCATTAAATACATGGTGGAGATATATATGGATAAATGAATTGATAATAATTATGTTTTGCCATTGCTTAGTATTATTTGACTTTACTAAAGTCTTAACTTCCCATTGACATCAGTTTTTAAATGTAAAAACACATTTTAGGATCTCAAATCATATTATTTCTTTTGAAGTTTATATACGCTGTTGAGCAAAATACTTTTATGTCCATTAAATATAGTTAAAACCTTAGTAAAGAGAGGAGAGAAAGAAATTTCCAAACATTTTTTAAGGAGGAAGACCGTAAGTCATGACTCTTGCCAGTGAAGCTTGAGAGTCATTCCTTCCCAGTTTTATTGAAATAGAATTGACATACAACACCGTATATAAGTTTAAGGTGTAAAACATAATGACTTGACAGACATATATTGAGAGATGATGACCACAGTAAGTTTAGTTAACATCCATCACGTCATATAGTTACATTTTTTTTTCTTTCGATGAGAACATTTAGGATTTACTCCCTTAGCAACTTTCAAGTATACCATACAGCAATGGTAACTACAGTCACCACGCTGTACATTACACCCCCAGCACTTATTGATCTGGAATTTTGTAACTTTTGACCACAGTCACCTAATTCCCCACCCCCTACCTCTGCCCCTAGTAACCACAAATTTGACTTCTTTTTCTATGAGTTTGTTTTGTTAGATTCCACATATAAGTGAGATCATGCAATCTTCCTCTGAAGGTCTACAGTTTGATTTCACTTTTTCAGTATAATGGTATTTGGGGTTTCTTTTCTTTCTCCTCCACTTCTGTTCCTTTTCCCTCCCTCTCCTCCTTCTCCTGATTCAAAACTCTAAAGTTTAAGGTCAAAACACAGAATTTGTTGGCTTATCAGGGGAAAAAAATCCCACTGCCAGGGAGTAACTATAACATAAAACTTACTTTTTTAAAATCAATTTCTTGAATCCATATCAAAAATACATTTAGTCAACTGTCATTATTACTTGTTTACCCTTCTTTAGAGTGAGCACCACCTTTTGTATTTCAGTAGTTGTTCTGATTTTTCACTCTCTAAGCAAGAGCAAATGAGAGAAGAGATGTAAAATAAAAATATTAATATATTCATTTCTCTTTCAGTGGACAGATAGGAATCACTAAACCAAGGGAAGTTTGGAGTATAACTTGGTTTCATGTATCCTGGAAAGCCCACCTTTTATAATTATAAGTTTAACAGGGTTATACATTTGTATAACTATATAATAAATTTGCTATCCGTATGTGTTCAAATATATCCAAAATATACATCTCTTTTTAAAACTCAAGTAAAGGGGTGCCTGGGTAGCTCAGTCGGAAGGGCATGTGACTCTTGATCTTGAGGTTGTGAGTTCAAGCCCCATGTTGGACATAGAGATTACTCAAAAATAAAATCCTTTAAAAAAAAAAGAGATTAAAGGGGCGCCTGGGTGGCTCAGTCATTAAGCATCTGCCTTCGTGGCTCAGGTCATGGTCCCAGGGTCCTGGGATCGAGTCCCACATTCCCGCGGAGCAGAGAAGCCTGCTTCTCCCTCTCCCACTCCTCCTGCTTGTGTTCCCTCTCTCGCTGTCTCTCTCTCTAATAAATAAATAAAAATCTTAAAAAAAATAAAATAAAAAAGGAAAACTCAAGTAAAAATTATTTCCTTGCCGTAGTGAAATTGGTATGTGTTTAAATGCAATATGAAACGTCTGTTATGTGGTATTAAAAATCAAGGAAAGATGACAGACTGTGATTCCCCTTTATCTTTGTAAAAAACTTAAGTTGTTATACCAATTCTGAGATATTAATGATTCCTGTATATTTTATCCAGGTGAACATTATCTCTTTGCTACAGTGAGTGTTTTGTTTTGTTTTTAGGAACTAGACATCCTGAAATTAAAGGACATCCTGAAATTAAAGGTAGATACATTGTTATAGTAGAAAATTTATATTACAGAATTGAAAACAAGGATAAGGTATTATAGTTTTATGATATATGTATAATATCATTGATATGGTATTCATTTTTCTCAAAATTTATCCTTTGCTATGGTAAATTTTTGTTTTTCTTACATGTGGCTTTTTACATGTGGCTCAAGGTAAAAAATTTAAATTCTTGGAATATTGCAGAATTGAAGTAAAACAAAGCTCCTGCTGTCTTCTTATATATATTTTTAAAGATTTACTTACTTTAGAGAGAGAGAGAGCGTGTGTGTGTTTGTGAGAGAGAGAGAGAGAGAGAGAGAACTGGGGGAGGGGCACAAGGAGAGGGAGAGAGAGAATTGTAAGCAGACTCCCTCCTGAGCGTGGAGCCTGATGCAAGGCTCGATCTCATGATCCTGAGATCATGACCTGAACAGAAATCAAGAGTCAGATGCTTAACTGACTGAGCCACACAGGCGCGCCCCTCTTCTTATATTTTAATGAAGTTATTAATTGCACATGATATAACCACATGTGAGCAATAACTCAGCTTTCACGTTAGTGCAGGCACAGAGGCCTTTCTAATGTCAGCTGAGTACTCTTTCAGTCAGTGTTAGTAACTGTTCCCTACCTTATGTAAGGACTTTGTGAATCAGAGTTGAAAAGGAAGCTTTCCTTCTCTGACCCAAGCATTTTGCCTATTCTAAATGCAGAAAACTACAGCACTATGAGTCTCACCATTCACTTGTACCAAGAGACACCTCTAGTTGGTACCTGCAAAATTTCTACATAGTTCATCCTGAGCCTTCACGATTACCTAGGTATAGAAAGGAAATAAGACGGTATGCTTTGAGGATTTGTACTGTCCTTTTTAAACAGAGGACAGGTTTTTGGGGTGCTTGGGTGGCTCAGTGGGTTAAGCATCCGACTGTTGATTTTGGCTCCAGTCATGATCTCAGGGTGATGAGATCAAGTTTGTGTCCATGGAGACTGCTTAAGATTCTCTCCCTCCCTCCGCCCCTCCCCAACTCATGCATGCCCATGCACGTGTGTGTGCTCACGCTTTCTCTCTCTCTCATCAATCAATCAATCAATAGACAACAGGTTTTAAGACAAAATTCGGATCGAAGTTGAAATAATTTTAATTATTTAATTTCTATTATAAACACAACCATAAACATTGGAACTTTTTGTTTTATTATAGAAGAAACAGAATTTTTGACTGCTGATATGGATGAAGGTAAATTAACATTATTCTTTTTTACTAGTGCTTCCTTGATTTACATCTGCATTTTAATGTTGTGTGTGTGTGTATGTATGTGTGTATATATAATTAATTCAAGCAACAATTACCTTTGCTATCAATGTAAAGAGAAAAAAATAACATTTCTCTTCTTATCACTCTTAAGAAAAACACATAAATGTTTCTTGAGAACTGCTTTTAAAAATGGGTTAATTCACAAGGCTAATTTTGAAGTGAAAACAATATTTTAGAGCTACATAACATTTTTTTATTTGCTATGAGCTTTGTCATGTCAGTTTTGTCAAAAACAACCAGATTTTGAGCATGACCCATGACATTTTGAAATATAAAAATAATAGACTTTACTTGAGCTAACTGGTTCTTTTTCAGTGTTTTCAATCCTGATAACAGAAGGTCTGTGAAGATCTGTATCCCGGCCAGTTGTGCACTGAGAGCTAAATTAAATTAAGTATTAAGTCCCTGAGGAGACAGTAATTAATAAGAGTTTTTGGGTCAGACGGACTTGAGTCATCCTGACTCAGTTATTTATTTATTAACTGTGTAACCTTAGGTGAATAACTTAACCTCAACTACAAATTGGGAATAAAATAGCTCCCTGTTTTAGGGGAATTTAAGCTGAAGTTCACATCAGACTCTCTTCTAATTGCCAGGCCCCAAAATTAATTAACAATTTTTTTTCATCAGCAATGATTGAAAGATTTAGATTTTGAAGATACAGCTATCAGTCTGAGGAGATTTTTCACCAAAGGCCCTTTATTTTCTACTCAACATAGTGTTGGTTTTCAGATAGTGCCTGAGCTGCTTCCACAATCCTCAGTAGACGAGGTCTCTCTTCTTTTAAAGGTCCAAGCACAAATTTAAAACTTACCATCACATTTTTCCCCCAACCCAGTTCTTAGAATGGGTGGGACAAAATGAACAGACAAAAACCCATCCATATTTACTCACGACTTCTCTCCCTTAAAGACCCACCTCCTTCTTATATGCCCAACGTAATTGACAGTGATATTAATTTTCCTTTCTCATTTGGGCCTAAGAAGCAAGTTTGTAAAAATACTCATGATGTGCTAAAATATATAGAAAGAATAAGGAAAACAGCTTATATTTTTACTTTCTCCCTTTTTCATGAGTTCTTCCGCCAATTCCCATCTCAAGCCTTGCTCTGCCAGGTGTCTCTGTGACAAGTGTGCCACATCTAAATGTTCACAGAGGAAGGAAATATCATCACGTGTCAAGTGACCAAAAGAATACCCCATTGCCCACTGATCCTAGATTGTCCATGGGTCCCTGGCACATTACCTCGCAGGGTTAATATGATGATTAGATTAAATAAACTACATACAAAATATTTAGCACGAGGACTGACACAGAAAGTGCTCAAATGTTAACATCATTAATGCTAATATTATTGAAAATAATTCCATATGAACAGCCTCTGTAAAGTAAAAACTATGAAAGTGAGAAGATATAGGTGCCCATGTTGTCAGCTCATTCTGATGATTTCTGAATGAGACCCTCATCCTGAGTATGCCTGGCCATTTGACAGCTTTTATTTCTCTGCCAAAGGCAGAGATAAAAATGTTTAACCCTTCAAGCTAGCCTCTTTCTGCCACCAGTGTACCTTTAGGCAGAACTTCAGAGAATCAAGCAATCTTCATATTAAGCCAGAATTTTTGAACAAGGTCAACAGTACCAATTAGCATCTAAAAGAATTTATTAATCAATTCAGTCTGTTTTGTTTTAGCAATGACTTTGCTGGTTTTGTGGCATAAATTATCAAGAAGTAATGGGTTCAAAATCATAATGATATAACCTCTTCCTTTCTTGAAGAAAGAAAACGGATAAAATCAATTCTCCCTAAAGTGTCCTGTGGAGTTAAAAACAGCGTGCCCATTCGAACGAAACGAGTCGTAGGAGGAAAGCCAGCATACATGGTAAACCTGTTGCTTCCCAGGAGCAGTCCAAGTTTGAAAAACAAAGAAAGGTGGGGGAGATACGTAATGATAAGAGACTGGGAGTCTTGCAATGGGCATATCTTAGGGCCACCTGTCTATCACCGTCTGGTAGAATGACAGTGACCACACTAATGTCTCTTACAGGGAGACTTCCCGTGGCAGGTGGCAATTAAGGACAATGAGAAAATCAAATGTGGAGGAATTTATATCGGAGGGTGTTGGATTGTAACTGCTGCACACTGTGTCAGGTAAAAAATGTCTCCAAAAAGATTTTGGATTCCCTGAAATAATGAAAGTGGGTAATAGAGATTGTGGCAGATGATAGATAAAAACGTGACAAATTCCACTCTCTTGACAGCTAAATCCCCTCCAGTATTCATGATCGGAACCCCAGAGGCCATCTGTGTTCTTCCCCCCCACCCCGCCCCCAGACCAAATTGTGATCCCAGATGGCAAGTTCAGATCAAACCCATAGGTACCAAGTTATGTCACGTGACTCATTTGCATGACGGGAAAGCAAGTAGATACTACCTACATTTTGTAGAGTTAGGACCAAACTGTTGAGAGGAGTTTATGACTGAAAAGTTTATGAAGAGGTGATACTAACCTGGCATTTTCTCTGGTCTATCTTCAACAAGGATGTCGTTTAAAGAGCCTCATGCATTTAAAGGCTTCAAATGCACAAATCTTTTTTGCCCCTTCCACATACCCTTAAATGTATTTGATATGTGTTCCAGACAGTAAAGGAACTGCTCAAAGCTCCACGCTAATTGTCTCACGTGCTGCTCCAGCACTGGCTGGCTCGTCTGCTGTATGCGGGCATCACTGATGTCTCTTCTTCTTCCCATAAGGAGACCAATCGTATGGGTTCAGAACTCCACTTCTGACCTTATTTAAACTTCATTACCTCTTTAAAGACTATCCAAATCTACTAATGTTGGGGGTTAGGTCTTCAACATATGAATTTTAGGGGAACACAATTCAGTCTTTACCAGTAGCTTAAGGGCAATACACAAAAGGTGCTGGTAACAAGTCAAGGTCAGCTGAAGGACAGAGTTTGGGCTTCCAGCCTCAGTGCTGATTTTTAGAATGAATGAAATGTCATTTGTTGAGTGCCTTTAACAGGCCAGATAATGGGTGTGGCATTTTCACATATGTTATTTTGTTTTAATATTCTTAACAGCCCTAAGAGGTAAATATTAGTCTTCCCATTTTGTGGATTAGCAGACTGAGACTGAGAAGGTACATAACTTGGCTAAAGTTACACTCCTAGTCAGCTGCAGAAACATAATTTTCGGTACCATCTGCCACCATACAAAGCTTTTACAATATTATTGATTATATTCTCTATGCTGTACCTTGGCTTATTTACGTTATAACTAGAAGTTTGTACTTCCTAATCCTCTTCACCTATTCTGCCCACTTCCCAATTTCTCCCCCTTTTTCTGTGAATCTGTTTCTGTTTTGGTTTTTGTTCATTTGTTTTGTGTTTTAGATTCCACACATAAGTGAAATCATATGGCATTTGTCTTTCCCTGTCCGACTTATCTTACCTGCAAAACACTCTCTAGTTCCATCCACGTTGTTGCAAATGGCAAGATCGCATTCTTTTTTATGGCTGAAAATTTTTCTATTGTATACATACATCACATCTTCTTTATCCATTTAGCTATCGATAGATGCTTAGGTTGCTTCCATATCTTGGTTATTATAAATAATGCTGCAGTGAACATAGGAGTGCATATATGCCTTTAAATTGGTTTTCATTTTCTTTGGGTAAATACCCAGAACAGAATTGCTGGATAACATGGTAGTTCTATTTTTAATTTTTTGAGGAACCTCCATACCTCCATACTGTTTTTCTTAGTGGCTGCACCAATGTAGAGTCCCACCAACAGTGCACAAGTCCCTTTTCTTGACATCCTGGCCAACACTCGTTATTTCTTCTCTTTTTGATACTAGCCATTCTGATGGTTTTGATTTGCATTTCGCTGATGATTAGGGGTATCGAGCATCTTTTCATGTGTCTGTTGACCATCCGTATGTCTCTAGATGTCTTTGGAAAAATGCCTATTCAAGCACTCTGCTCATTTTTTTTCTTTTTTTTTATTAACATAATGTATTATTTGTTTCAGAGGTACATCTGTGATTCATCAGTCTTACACAGTTCACAGCGCTCAACATAGCACATACCCTCCCCAATGTCTATCACCCAGCCACCCCACCCCTCCCACCCCCCACCACTCCAGCAACCCTCAGTTTGTTTCCTGAGATTAAGAGTCTCTTACAGTTTGTCTCTGCCCATTTTTAATTGTTTTTTTATATTAAGTTGTGTAAGTTATATATATATGATATGATATTAACGCCTTGTCAGATTTATGATTTGCAAATTTCTTTTTCCATTCAGTAGGTTATCTCTTTGTTTTGTTGACAGTTTCCTTCATCATACAAAAGGTTTTTAGTTTAATATAATCCCATGTTTATTTTAGCTTTTATATTCTTAACTCCTTTGTCAAAGATTAATTGACCATATATGTGTGTGAGATTTTTTCTGGGCTCTCTACACTATTCCATTGATCTATGTGTCTGTTTTCAGGCCAGTACCATAATGTGTTGATTATTATAGCTTTGTAGTATAGTTCAAAATCAGGAAATTTGATACTTCCAGCTTTGTTCTTCTTTCTCAAGATTGCTATGGCTATTTAGGGTCTTTTGTGGTTCCATAAGAAGTTCAGGATTCTTTTTTCTAGTTCTATAGAAAATACCATTGGTTTTTTTTTTTTTAAAGATTTTATTTATTTATTTGACAGAGAGAGATATAGCGAGAGCGAGAAGCAGGCTTCCTGCGGAGCAGGGAACCCGATGTGGGACTCGATCCCAGGACCCTGGGATCATGACCTGAGCCGAAGGCAGACGCCCAACGACTGAGCCACCCAGGCGCCCACCATTGGTTTTTTTATTTAAAAAAAATCACAGTAAATGTGTAGATTGCTTTGAGTAGTATAGACATTTTAACAATATTGGTTCTTCCAATCCCCATGGTATATCTTTCCATTTATTTGTGTCACTTCCAATTTCTTTCATCAAAGTCCTATAGTCTTTCATTTCCTTAAATTTATTCCTAGGTATTTTATTCTTTTTGGTGCAATTGTAGATAGGATTATTTTTATTCTGATAGTTCGTTATTAGTGTATGGAAGCAATTAATATCTGTATGTTAATTTTGTACCCTGCGATTTTACTGAATTCATTTATTAGTTCTAATAGTTTTCTGGTGGTGTCTTCAGAGTTCTCTCTCTCTCTCTCTCTCTCTATATATATATACATATATACCATCAGCAAATAGTGACAGTTTTATCTTTCTTATCAATTTGGATGCCTTTACTTTTTCTTTCTTTCTTTCTTTTTCTTTTTCTTTTTCTTTTTTTTTTTTTTTGGTCTGATTGCTGCAGCTAGGACTTCCAGTACTATGTGGAATAAAAGTGGCAAGATGGACATCCTTGTCTTGTTTCTGAACTTAGGGGAGGAAAAGCTTTCACCAGTGTGCAGTGTGTATGATGTTAACTGTGGATTTGTCATGCGTAGCCTTTATTATGCTAAGGTACATTTCCTCTATATCCACTTTGTTGAGAGTTTTTATCATAAGTGGATGTTGAATTTTCTTTCCTGCATCTATTGAGCTGATCATATGATTTTTATGCTTTGTTTTATTAATATGGTGTATCACATTGATTGATTTGTAGATGTTAAGCCATACTTACATCCCTGGAATAAATCTCACTTGATCATGATGAACGATCCTTTTAATGTACTGTTGAATTCAGTTTGCTAATATTTTGTTGATGATCTTTGCATCTATGTTTATCAGAGATACTGGTGTGTAGTTTTCTTTTCTTGTAGTGTCTTTGTCTGGCTTTGGCATCAGGGTAATGCTGGCCTCATAGAATGAATCTGGATGTATTCCTTCCTTTGCAATTTTTTGGAACGATTTAAGAAGGATAGGTGCTAACTCTTCTTTAAATATTTGGCAGAATTCACCTGTAAAGCTGTCCAGTCTTGAACTTTTGTGTATTGTAAGTTTTTAAGTTACTGGTTTAATTTCATTACTTGTAATCAGTCTTGATTCAGATTTTCTATTTCTTCGTGATTCAGTTTTGGAAGGTTTATGTTTCTAGGAATTTATCCATTTCTTTTAGGTTTTCCAATTTGGTGGTGTATAGTTGTTCATAGTAATCTCTTATAACCATTTCTATTTCCGTGGTGAGTGTAACTTCTCCTCTTTTGTTTCTGATTTTACCTATTTAGGCTTTTTCTTGATGAGTCTGGCTAGAGGTTTATCAAACTTTTTACCTTTTAAAAAATCTACTTTTAGTTCTATAGGTTTTTTTCTATTTTTGTCTCTATTTCATTTATTTCTGCTCTAATCTTTATTTCCTTCCTTCTATTAACATTGGGCTCTGTTCTTTTTGTAGTGCTTTTAGGTATAAGGTTAGATGGTTTATTTGAGATTTCTCTTGTTTCTTTAGGTAGACCTTTATTACTATGAACTTCCCTCTTCAAACTGTTTTTGCTGCATCCCATAGATTTTTGAACTGTTGTGTGTCCATTTTCATTTGTGTCAAGGTGCTTTTTATTTTTTCTCCTTGATTTTTCATTGACCCATTGGCTGTTTAGTAACATGCTGTTTAGCCTCCTTGTGTTTGTGTTTTTTCCAGTTTTCTTCTTGTAGTTGATTTCTAGTTTCATACTTACATGGTCAGAAGAGATGCTTGATATGATTTCTATCTTCTTGAATATATTAAGACTTGTTTTGTGGCCTAACATATGATGCACTCTGGAGAACATTCCTGTGTGCTTGAAAAGAATGTGTATTCTGTAGTTTTTAGATAAAATGTTCTGTATATATCTATTAAGTCCATCTGGTCTAATGTATCACTTACGGCCAATGTTTCCTTATTGCTTTTCTGTCTGGTTGCTCTATCCATTGATGTAAGTGGTATATTAAAGTCCCCTACTATTGTATTACTGTATCTTTCTTCATGTATGTTAATACTTGCTTTATATATTTAGATGCTCCTATGTTGGGTACATAAATCTTTATGAATGTTATATCCTTTTCTTGGATTTACCTTTTATCATTATGTAATGCTCTTCTTTATCTTTTGTTATAGTCTCTGTTTTAAAGTCTATTTTATCTGTTGTGAGTATTGCTACACCAGCTTTCTTTTTGTTTCCATTTGCATGGAACATCTTTTTCCATCCCCTCACTTTCATTCTGTGTGTGTCTTTAGATCTGAAATGAGTCTCTCATAGGCAGCATATAGGTGAGTGTTGTTTTCAACTCATTCAGCCACTCTTTGTCTTTCAACTGGTGCATTTAATTCATTTACATGTAATTATTGATAGGTATGTACTTATTGCCATTTTGTTAATTGTTTATTGGTTGTTTCTATGGTTCTTCTCTATTCCTTTCTTATTCTCTGCATCTCTTCCATTGTGGCTTGATGGTTTTCTTTAGTTTTATGTTTGGGTTCTTTTGTCTTTATTTTTTGTATATCTATTGTAGGTTTTTGGTTTGTGCTCACCATGAGGCTCATATATATTAACCTAAAGTCTCTCTCTCTTCCCATATATATATATATATACACACACACAGCTGATAGTCACTTAAGTTTGAACACATTCTAAAAGCAATACATTTTTTTACTCCCTCCTTCATATTTTAAATTTTTGATGTCTTAAATAAAAAGATGTATCTTTTTATGTGTATCCCTTAACTGCTTATTTTAGTTATAGTTGATTTTACTATTTTTGTCTTTTAACCTTCATATTGACTTTGCAAGTAGCCAATTTTTTTTTAAAGATTTTATTTATTTATTTGAGAGAGAGAGAATGAGAGATAGAAAGCACGAGAGGGAAAGGGTCAGAGGGAGAAGCAGACTCCCTGCTGAGCAGGAAGCCCGATGTGGGACTCAATCCCGGGACCCCAGGATCATGACCTGAGTCATAGGCAGTCGCTTAACCAACTGAGCCACCAAGGCGCCCTGCAAGTAGCCAATTTACTTTACTGCCTTTACTATATATTTTCCTATATCAGTAAGATTTTTTTCTTTCATATATTTTCTTATTTCTAGTTATGGCTTTCTCTCTAACATTTTTTGTAAGACCAGTCTAGTGGTGATGAACTTCAGATTTTGCTTGTCTGGGAAATTCTTTATCTCTTCTTCAATCCTGAATGATAATCTTGCCAAATATTGTATTCTTGGTCGTAAGCTTTTCCTTTTCAGCACTTTAAATATATCCTACCACTCTCTTTTGCCCTGCAAAGTTTCTGCTGAAAAATCAGCTGATAGTCTTATGGGGCTTCCCTTGTTTGTAACTATTTGTTTTTCTCTTGCTGCTTTTAAGATTTTCTCTTTAGGGACGCCTGGGTGGCTCAGTCGTTAAGCATCTGCCTTGGGCTCAGGTCATGATCCCAGGGTCCTGGGATTGAGCCCCACATAGGGCTCCCTGCTCCATGGGAAGCCTGCTTCTCCCTCTCCCACTCCCCTGCTTGTGTTCCTTCTCTCACTGTGTCTCTCTCTGTCAAATAAATAAATAAAATCTTTAAATAAAAAAAATTTTCTCTTTATCTTTAACTTTTGCCATTTTAATTATAATATGCCTTGGTAAGAATCTCTTTGGGTTCATCTTGTTTTGGGACTCTCTGTGCTTCCTGGACTTGGATGTCTGTTTCCTTCCCCAGGTTAAGAAAGTTTTCAACTATTATTTCTTCAAATAAATTTTCTGCCCACCTCTATTTCTCTTCTCCTCTGTGGACCCCTAAAATGTGAATGTTAGTATACTTGATGTTGTCCAAAGGTCCCTTAAACTACACTTTTTAATTTTTTTTTCCTTTTTGCTGTTCTGCTTGGGTAATTTCCACTCTTCTGTCTTCCACATCACTGATCTGTTCTTATGGATCATCTAATCTGCTATTGATTTCCTCTAGAGTATTTTTTAGTTCAGTTATTGTATTCTTTAGCTCTGTGACTTCTTTTTGGTTCTTTCATATTTTTCAACTCTTTGTTGAAGTTTTCCCTGTGTTCTTCCATTCTTCTCCCAAGTTCAGTGATCATTTTTATGACCACTATTTTGAACTATTTATCAGTAAATTACTCACTTCCATTTCATTAGGGTTGTTTTTTTTTTTTAAGCCCTGGGGTTTTATCTTGTTTGTTCTTTTATTTGGAACATATTCCTCTGTCTCCTGATTTTGTTTGACTTTTTCTGTTTCTGTGAATTAGGCAGAACTGCTACCTTTCCCAGTCTTGAAGGAGTGGTCTTGTGTAGGTGCTTCCCTGTGTAGACTGTGTGTGCTGGAGGTTTTGGTTGACTGCCCAAAGATGGAACAGGCATGGGCCAGGGGGTCTTAGGGCATGCTGCACTGGGGCCACCCTACAGGAACAGCTGGAGCTGGAGTGGGCATGGGTCTGGGGGTCCCAGGGTGCTCCAGGTTGAAACCACCTGGCTGGAGAGCTGGAGCTAGAACTGGCCTGGGTTGGCAGGTTCCAGGGTGCTCTGCACCAGGGCCACTATGGCAGGATAACCGGAGCTGGGGCAGGCAGGCTGGCCCCTCCATATAGGGGCTGCCCTGGTGGGATGGCTGGAGCTGAAGCAGGTGCATGCTGGAGGTGTCCTCAAGTACTTTCCACCTGGGCCACCTTGGTATGATGACTGGAGATATAGTGGGCACAAAGAGGGGGTATCTGGGTGTGCACTGTATTGGGGCAGCCTCAGTGAGATAGCTGGAGATGGGATGGGTGCAGGCAGGAGCCCACATAAAGGGGCTGGCTGGAGCTGTGAGGGCTAGGAATCTGGGGTCACTGAGGCTGTAGGCCAGCCAGAGTGTAGGGCCCCTGCTCCCATCTGTGCTATCAGGGTGGAGGGGAAACATAGACAATGGCACTCACCAGCACCTCCAGGTCATCAAATCAAGTGTGGAGTTCCCATCATTACCATGTCTTTGTCTCTCCTACCATTCTCTGTGTGGTCCCTCTGTTGTTGTGCAGAGCTGTTCAATTAGCCTTCTGTTCTTCTTCAGGAGGTATTGCTCTATATGTAGGTGTAGATTTGGTGTGTCCGTGGGATAAGGTGAGTTCAGGGTGAGTTCCTACACTGCCATCATGGACCATCACTCTCAGTAGTCTTGATCTATGTTGTTTCTACTTTTTTAATGCATATTCTCATGAATTTTGGTGGGAGGAAGGGCCCACTTCTCCCTTAGAGAGACTGAAAATGTCAGACACTTGCTTTGCCAGGCTTGTCTGCTTCTAGAGTATCTAAATAACATTGGCCCATTAAACTCCATATGATCTGACCCCTAATTACCTTTGTCAATTTCATCCTGCCCCTCAGCTTCAACTCTTGCTGTCTGCTCTCCCTGCTCTGGACTTCTCTCAGCTACTCATGTGCACCTTGCTCCCTGTTGCAGAGAGACCTTCATATGTTATTTCTCATGCCTGAAATGATTTTTCCTACCCTGTTTCTCTAGTTAGTGCTACTCTTTATTCAGATCTTAGCTCAATCTTCACTTCCTCAGAGAATCTTCCCTGACTCAAGTCAAAGCCTTCTTGATAAGTTCTCAGAACCCCATGTGCTGTTCATTCCTCTCATTTTAGAATACATATCTTCATTATTGTCATTATCCATTTAATGCCGCAGCTTTCCTTAGATCCTGAGCTCCATGAAGGCAGGAACTATTTCTGATTTTGTTCATTTCAGTATCCCAGTGGCTAGCACACTGCCTGGTAATTGTAGGTGCACACTAAGTATTTGTTAGTAAATTGAATGAATAAACAGGGTTAACCTTTAAACAATATTCATGACCTCTGATCCTAAAAAAACAACCAAAATTAATATGATGCACAGTATTCTTGGAATATTAAGTATAAATGAAAGCATCCTGAACACCTCCTTGGTTCCTAGAACAACACTGTTTAACTGTTAGGTGATTACCTGAGATAATGATGGTAAATGCCAATTTGCTGGAAACCATGAGGTGAAAATTAGTATGAAAATTGAGTGAAGCATAAGAACAAGCAATATCTAGCTCATTAACCATTTAAACTAAATTTTAAAGCAGCGAATATATGCCAGGTAAAATACTAGATGCAGGCATCTATCCACAGATGAATTAGATTCCATCTTTGACCTCCAGTAGCACAATCCAACAGGAAGAAAAGCTTGTGAGCAAATAAATACAATGCAATGTTAAGATGAAGTCAGTCTTAAACGCAGGATAATGACTGCTATGGTCTTCATCCTGAGAACCTCTGGGTTTGGCAGAGTAATGAGAATGTGTGTCCTGATTTCCTCATTTCCTCAACCACATTTCTGGCTACATGCTTTCTGGTCTCTGCTTGAACACCTTCAGTGATGGTGCTCTCACTCCAGAGGCAGCCAACTCATTCCACTTCTGGGCATCTCTGGTTGTTAGTGAGTTCTTTATGTCCCTGATATGGAGCAGTTAGATGGATTATTCCTCTCTTCATTTACCCACTGACTTTAATTCTACCCCATAAATTTAATCACACTGCTTCATGACAGCAAGAATTTTTTAAAAATCTGGAAAAAGGAAGAAAGTCCTTTAAAAGGGAGGATATAAAGATAAAGCATCAAATGTCCATGTTTATAGTTGGTATTTTTCCTCAATATATCTTATCTCCCTTTTCCTTTCTGTTATAGCATGAGTAAAATATACCATTACCAAATATGGGCATCATTTCTAGATTCGTTAAGACCTGAGATGGACGTAACTATTCACTTCGCAAAGAAAATTATTATTCATGAAAAGTACAACGGAACCAGCTATGAAAATGACATAGCTTTGATTGAATTGAAAAAACACTCAAGCCGAAAAGAATGTGACCTGCCTAATTCCATCCCTGCCTGTGTCCCCTGGTCTTCATATCTATTTCAACCTAACGACAAATGCATTGTTGCTGGCTGGGGTCGAGAAAAAGGTATATGTTTTAAAATTTTTGATCAGAATCCAGGGGTTGAAATAAATGGGAATAGAAATGGATAGGAGCTAATTTCCTAGTACACAGGGAGAAACATAGCAGCAAATCCAGAAAAATGAGCATTCAGCCAGGGCTAGCTTCATGAGTGAAGCATCCCAGGCTCCAAAGGGCCCCTTGCTTAGTGTACAGCTCTGCTGTCATCATCATGAAATTCTTAATAATTTTTGCAGCAGCCCCCACCTCACGTTTTTATTTTTCACCGGGCCCTGAAAATTATGTAGCTGATCCTGATCCAGAGTTTCAAAGGACACCTACACTCTGTGATCTTGAAGCATACATTGAGGGGTAAACATTTACAAAAAAAAAAAAAAAAAGTAGAGTGACGGGGGACATATATAACATGGACTTTCTGGATTTGTTAGACATGGATGGAAGATAAAGTGGTTTCCAAAGGAACAGTCAAAGTATAAGTGAGTCAGTAATCCCACAACCCTGTGCTCTCTCCTCTACTCCCCCATTCTCCTTGCCCCACCCTCCCCATCACATCCCACAAAGAGGAAGAAAACATAAAGAATTATTTCTTGAGCTTCTAAGAAGACTTGAGGTGAACATTTGTATGAATAAGCTATGTAGATACTTAGGGACAAATTATTAGAAAAACTGGCTAAATAAGAAGTTAGATTAGAATTAAATTAGCCAATGCTTTTTCCTTTATCTTGAAGAGTTAGCTTTGAAATTTAGCTTCCTTTTGACCTCCTACATACTCTTTGTAAATAACTTCACTACATTGGTCTTATAGACTCATACTCCAACACATTACTTAAAATTGCCACATGGAAAAGTATAAAATATGTATATAAATTAACCTGGATTTGTAGTATGTTTGAATACCCAAGACTAAATTTTATTAGTAATTAGTTTATCCAGAAGGCATATATCCTTACATTTGTTCCTTAAAAAAAAAGCTTTTATTATGTACATTTACAAGTATACAGAAGAGTAGAGACAAGAGTACAATAAACCTACTTATTCATCACCCAGTTTCCAGTTATCAGCACTCTGCCATTCTTGTTTTATCTCTCTGAATCAATCACAAGCTCAATAGGATAATTAGGAAGGGTTATTTATAAAGGGATTAATTACAGGGATGTGGATAGGGGTTGGGGAGCCACAAGGGCTCTGCAGCAACCTGGGACCAACAGTACCAGAACAGCCTCTCTTAGGTCCGAAGACGTGAAAGGAAGAAGTTACCAAGAGAAAGAACCTCAGGTAGAGCAGGCTGCCTTGAGAGAAGCAATGACTTTGGATCGAAGGTTATAGCCAACCCCAATCTCCTTATCCTCTCTCCTTACCCTCCCTTCTTCTGCTGGGGTTTTATATTGAAAACCAGAGGCTAAGAGATTCCTACTGAGGCAGTCCCTTAGATCAGCTCCTTGGGCAGGGTGCAGGGCATTGAAGAGTGGAGAGTGGATCTGAAGGACAATTGGGAGCTATTGAACATATTCCCCCTACCCCATACATTTTCTTTCCTGGAGCATATTAAATCAAACCCAGATATAAATTAATTTCATCCATGAATATTCCAGTAGATATCTTTACCAGGTAAGGACTTAAAAAACAAAAATGAAAGCAAAAACACAACACCATTCATACACAACAAAATGAAAGTGATCCCATAATAATATCTAATAACCATCCCATGTTTAATATTCCTCAATTACTTACAAAGTATTTTTACAATCAGGATTATTTCCATTGGGATCCAAAGTCTGCACATTGCATTTGGTGGCTATTTTTCTTAAGTCTCTTTTAATCTCAGTTACCCATTCCTTTTATTTAAAATGTATTTATTAAGGAAACTGGGTCATTCTTATTTTGGAATTTTCACACCTTGAATTTGGCTGATTGTATCCTTGATGTGGCATTTCACATATTCTTCTATTCCATGTATTTCCTATAAACTGGTAGATATGTTCTTATGCATTGTTTTACTTATTAATCAAATATAGTTTAACACATTTTTGAGCCCTTACTATGTTTGCAAGATAATAATGCTAATGTGCTAGGATTTCCCTGATGAACAATATGGACCAGGTCAACAAGGAGTATAGAGACTACAGATCTCAAGGGACTTGAGTACAGAGGAGCCATCAGACGTGAATGCCACCATTGGACAGCAGAATGTGACAGGTGCCTCGAGAAATATACAAAACAACGGGGTGCTTGGGTGGCTCAGTCGGTTAAGCATCCAACTCTTGATTGTGGCTCAGGTCAAGATCTCGGGGTTGTGGTATCAAGCCCCACATCAAGCTCCATTCTGAGCATGGAGCCTGCTTGAGATTCTCTCTCCTTCTTCCTCTGCCCCTCCCCACTCACACTTTCCCTTTAAAAAAGAAAAAAAAAAAAAAGAAGTATACAAAACAAGAGTTCTGGAGAGGGAGTAGTCTCCTGAGCCATTAAAAACTGTTCACACAGGGGGCACCTGGGTGGCTCAGTCGTTAAGTATCTGCGTTCGGCTCAGGTCATGATCCCAGGGTCCTGGGATCGAGCCCTGCATCAGGCTCCCTGCTCAGTGGGAAGCCTGCTTCTCCCTCTCCCACTCCCCCTGCTTATGTTCCCTCTCTCGCTGTCTCTCTCCCTGTCAAATAAATAAATAAAATCTTAAATAAAAAAAAGAAATAAAAGACTGTCTTTAAAAAAAAAATTGTTCACACGATATAGGAGTTCCCAGTTTTTAAATGCTCCTCCTGAGTTAGAAGGAATAATAAATTACTAATTAAAAAAAAAAAGCTCTTAACCTGAAGATAGCATCTTAAAACTAACTTGAAGTAAGACTTGAAGGAGAAAAAAAGAAACTCTTTCCTAATTTGCCCTATACTTGGGTGGATTTTTGTCTCTCCCTGCTTCTCAGAAGAGAGTAATATTAGTTTCACAGTTTATTACATACCCCCTACAGTGCTAGGGTCTGTGGAGGTGTCCTCTCAAGATATCCAGAAGCCTCTGCCCCCTGATAGTTTATACATTAAGTTAGGAGGTGAGTCATTTGGCATAAGTTGTTTAGTGTATAATTGGATTACGGAGTTCATGGATGAATAAATTACGTGAATATTTATTAAGCAACTACTTTGTGCTAGCATGAGGCTGGGTGCTAGCATAGCAATCCATCAATCAGGTCCAGTCCTTGCTCTCCTAGAGCATAAAAATTGCTGAAAGCTTGGGGGAAAGGAGGAGGGGAGATGGGGCAAAGACTCGCTCCTTACACCCAAGACATCTCACCCCATATTCTTAAGTTTTTCTTATCTTCCTGGACTGTCGATCAGCAACAGTATCTGCCACTTCTCTCTCCTTAGATGAAAAACGTTCAAGCCCCACATCTCTAACTTAGATGAAAAGGAAATCCTAAATCCTCTTTCAAATCACTTAGGAAATGAACTTCTTCAGACACACAAAAACATACACACTGATAACTTCGTATACATTTTCTTCATTTAACTTCTTATATTAAAAGGCCGTTTTCACTCTAACAAGCACTTTCCAGGAAATCCAGGATGTAAGATGATAGGAGCTATTCATGTGAGAAAATGCCGATCACCGACTCCTACCCAGCTCCCACGCTGGACTCAGCAATCAAAGGGGAGAGAGTTTATCTTGTTCAGCTCAGAGCATCCAGGTCTTTGTGAAATGGGAACGACTTCAGGCATGTGTTCAGGAATGCCCCTTAACTTTTTTTTTTTAAAGATTCTATTTATTTGCCCCTTAACTATTTTTAGAAGGACAGTTGGAGAAACTGGACATAGGAGCAGTGTGTGATTAAATATGTTAATGAAATCTCCTCAAAAGTTGATGTATGTGTTAAGGAATATATATAATCTCTATGCCTCATGGTTTACTAAATGATGAGAGTATTTATTTAGATTTCTCATTGGTGACTTCTAAATGTCTGTTCTCTCCCTTTGCTTAGATAACCAAAGAGTCTATTTACTTAAGTGGGGTGAAGTTAGCCTAATCAACAACTGCTCCAGGTTTTATCCGGGTCGCTATTTTGAAAAAGAAATGGACTGTGCAGGTAAGCACGGGGTGGTTTCCCTAAGATCTGTACCTATACCCCCTACCAAACATCTCCCCTCCTCCCCAAATCCGCCTTCTCGCTCTGGGCCCTGGGCCCTTTCATCGGGCCTCCTGGCCGGGGCTTCCCTAGCCCTTCATTCAAGCCCTCATGCTAATAGGAAGAGGAAGAATCTTCCTTATGCCACCGTATAGAAAGGTGCCTAAAAGCACAGACTCTGGAACCAGGCTGCCTGGGTTTATATCCCGATTTTTACCAGTTACGACTCACATGGCCTTGAGCAGTCTTCCCCATCTGCAAAACTGGGGATCTTCATAAATGAGGAAACTGAGATGCAGAGCAGTTACATAATTTGCCCAAAGTCTTGTAAGAAGTAGCAGATCCAGGATCAAAACCCAACCTTTTTCTCAATAAAAATCTGAATGATCTCATTTCAGACATGTCCGCTTAGAAGTAAATCCTCCCTCCTCAGCAATCCCATGGCACTTTTGATGACCCCTGCCACCATCTCCTTTACTCTCATAGTGGCCCCAGTGCCCCTACCCAATGTTGCAGGCTTGCAGGGTTCTTGTCTCACAGAGAGGAGGAAGGAATCTCGCGGACACAAAAGGGTGAAGCGAAGTGAAAGTTTATTAAGTGAAGGCGAGAGCAGAAAGGAAAGAAGCAGCTCTCTAGAGAGGGGTCCCAAATGGGTTGCCACGGAGGGTTTTAGTGGCAGTCTTTTATTGAGAACCGACCGGAAAGCTTGTGGCCTTGAGATTTTTGTGTCTTGGTTTGTTGCTTTATCTCTTGTTTCTCTCTGTCTCAGCGTCTCCACCGGCCAGGAATAGTTCCAGAGCCCAGTCAGGGGAGTCAGGGCCCTCCTATCTCTCCTGCCTAGAACTTAACCCCTTCCCTATTCGTAGGACAGAACCTGTGGGCAGAAAGAGCTGTACTGGGATTGTGAGGAATGACTGATTGTTTACTTTTTAATAAGTGGGGGTGAGGGATAGCACCAGTCTCCAAGGAATCTGGAAGCAAGGCTTTCAGGACCTTGAGGGGCCGCTGCTGCCAAGATGAAGTTACTTTTAAACATTAAGGCACTGAGGCGACCACACTTTTCTTGAGGAAGGTCACCGTCTTCTAAGGTTTTTTTAAATCACTGATCCCAAAAGTTATAGGATGTCAATTACTTTCAGGTTATCTATCAGTGGGTGGCAAGCTGTAGGAGACTTTAATTTAAGCTACATTTCTTTTGCCTTTGTTTCCCACATCGCTAACAACAGTTACACAGCTACAAGTCAGTTCCTGCTTTTGGTGGTGACACAAAGGCAGGGAACCAGCCAGGGTAATGCATTTAGGATGCTTTATTAAAACCACTTATAAATAGTGTATTCCAGAAAAAGGCAAAATAATTGACATCCTATAACTTTTGGGATCAGTGATTTAAAAAAACCTTAGAAAGTCCTAAGAGTGAGAAGAAAGTAAACAGACCATTCCCGGTGCTCTCCCTTCTTAAATGGAGTTCAGGATGACAGAGGACAATAGGGGAGACTAGGACAAAACCTACCAGGAGGCAATTATCACAGTTAAGAGGGAAAGCTTGAAGGGTTCTGCCTGCCTGAGTTCAAGTCCAGCCTGCCACTTAGTAGCTGTATGGCCTTGGACAAATTAGTTAAACCTCCCTGGGCCTTATTTGTCTCATCTGAAAATAAGGATAATAATGATACTTATCTCATTAGGGGTGTGGTTTAGGATCAAAACAATAACTGACTAATGCATATTAAGCACTCAATAAGCACGAAGTATTTCTATTATTTCCCCCACTGAGTATTGGATGCTACTTTCAGATTGCAATCTCGTCAGAGTATACACTTGCATACAACAGAGGAAGCACGGGAAGCCCTCACTAAATATGGAGAATGAGCAGAAGACAAAGTGTGTCCCAACCTGCATCTCTCCACCTCTATGGGCCCAGAGGGGTGTGAGGGAGAGTACGCGTTATTGCCCGTTAGCAAAGTGTAAGAAAGCCAAAGTTGGTACACACATTGGAGGAGACAGGAAGTCAGCATGGCAGCCTCGACAAATGGAAGTACGTGTGTGATTTTCTTTTTCCTTTGTCTTTTTCAGGTACAGATGATGGTTCCATCGACTCCTGTAAAGGGGACTCCGGAGGCCCCTTAGTCTGTAAGGATGTCAACAATGTGACTTATGTTTGGGGTGTTGTGAGTTGGGGTGAAAACTGCGGAAGACCAGAGTACCCAGGTGTTTACACCAAAGTGGCCAATTATTTTGACTGGATTAGCCATCATGTGGGAAGGTCTCTTATTTCTCAGTACAATGTATAAAACTGTGATCTCTCTCTTCTGCTCTTTTTCTCTTGGGAGTTGGATTTTAGTTGAAATGATACTGCATAATTAGTACTTCTCTAGGAAAAAAATAATAAAGCATATTTTATTGGATATTTTTAAAGGTTTCTACAAAGCTTCTTCCATATTGGAACTTTGCTGTGTAATTATTGAAGAAATATTTTAGTCGGGCATACTTTATTTATTAGAAAATGTGATTAAATTATCTCTTTATATAGGAAGGATATATTGACTATACCAAAGGCTTTGCTAGTTGAATGACACTGGATTCACATAAGCCTGCATTCAAACCCCAATTCTACCATCTACTTATTACTTGGCCCTGGGCAATTTATCATCTTCTTTGTGTCTCATTTTCTACCTTTAAAATGGAAACTAGAATTTTGAAAAAATGAAACCACATACTAAATGAAATGTTTGCACAGTACCTGTCACAGGAAAATAACTGACCTCACACCTCTTGTCCCATTTCTCTGCTTCTTAAAGTATTAAAAGTTCTCTTGAAAGATTTGTCTTTAGTTCCATTTCACAAGTCCTCCTTGACCCTCTCTTTAGACCTCTCCACAGATACTGCCACACAACCACTGACCTCCTTGGTGTCAAACCCACAGTCACTTAGCTATTCTCTTCTCCCCCTGCCCCAGCTGCAGTAGACACAGTCAGCCCCTCAGGACATCACACTCTCTGCCTGGCCCCCAGCCTCCCTGGCTGGTCTCCACCTCCTTCCCAGTCTCTTCCTTCTGGTCACTTCTTTCACTTTGTGTTTTTCCTAGTGATCTTACTAAATTCCACCCACAGTCCAATGACCCACAAATCCATATCTCCAGCCCTGATCTTCCTAAATCCCAGACTAGTATTTCACTGAGCACTTACCATCTCCATCTGGACATCTAATAGCATTTCAAAAGAAACATAGCCAACAGGGGCACCTGGGTGGCTCAGTCGTTAAGCGACTGCCTTCGGCTCAGGTCGTGATCCCGGGGTCCTGGGATCAAGCTCCGCATCGGGCTCCCTGCTTGGCGGGAAGCCTGCTTCTCCCTCTCCCACTCCCCCTGCTTGTGTTCCCTCTTGCTGTGTCTCTCTCTGTCGATTAAATAAAAAAAATCTTTAAAAAAAGTAAAGAAACCTTAGCCAATCCAAAATGGCCCCTTCTTATCCAGTTCCTCCCTTCTTAGTAAATGGCATTTACTCAGGGCTCTCCTGTGCACCCACTGTACATTAGGCACCAATCTCTTTCTATCACGTGACCCTGGTTTGTCTACTTCTTCCCCACAATGCTCACACATCCACTCCTGCTCTCTGCTTTCTATGCTGTAAGACACAAGAGAAGAGAGACTGTCTGTCTTCCTCCTGTCTGCATCCCTAGCACTTGGTTCAGAGGAGGTGCTCAGTGAATAAACAGTAGCTGCTTTTATTATGATGATTTAAAATGCAGCTATCATCATCCTGAAGACAGGTATATTTTTCACATAAGTATTACCTTCAATACCTGTGGTTCAGTCCTGGATAAAGCCCAATTGTTTTAATAAGACAAATGCCCATTTCTATGTATATTCCAAAGTTGCTTACTGCCCAGATTTTTTTTCTTTTTAAAAATTTTGGTAACATACACATACAATTTTTTTTTTTTTTTTTTACTGCTTTAACCATTTTGAAGTGTACAGTTCAGGGGATTAAGTACGTTCCCCTTGTGCAACCATACCATCTCCAGAAATTTTTCATCTTCCCAAACTGAAAACCTGTGCCCATTACACACTAACTCTTCCTCCCCTCCCATGCTGCCCGGATTTTTGATGCTTTTTGTCACTGAATGCAGGAGAGTATTTGGTTATCTATGGCTGTGTAAGAAAGAACCCCCACATATTTATTTAAATAGCGGTTGTTTATTATTTTGCTCACGTGTCTGGGGATTGACTGGGGCTCAGCTGGCCATTTCTTCCATCCTCTAGTATAGTTACTATCAGACAGGGAGGGCTGGGGCAAGGATCATCTGGAAGGCTTCACTCATGCGTCTGGTGCTTGGGCTGGGAGAACTCAAACAGTGGGGCTTCTCAGGCATCTCTCTCTATGTGGTCTTCTCCACTTGGGCTCGCAACATGAGGACTCAGGGGCACTAGACTTCTTACATAACAGCTGACAAGTGTCCCAGGAGAGCCTGCAAACTAGAAAGGCCTTTACAAACCCAGCCTTGGAAGTCATTTAGCTTTGCTTCCATCACAAGACCTGATCAGGTTGAAGGGAGGAAATATAATCCATCTCTTGATGGGAGGGGTGTCAAAATATCTGTGGCATGTTTTAAAACCTCCACCATGTCCTGGCCCAGCAAACCTGGAGCATGTAGCATCTCCGAAGATGCCCGGATATGAGTACTAAGGGCTGCAAGCTGGGAGAAGGTAGCGTCGTGGCCCCTGGAAAGACCAAGCCAGTCTGCACGTGACCTGGGACCTGGAGACTTCACAGCAGAGTGGACCAGAATCGGGGCCTGAAGAGTGAAGAGCCAGCTTCTCCATAGCGACTCCATGTGACAGAGCCTGGGAATAGCAGGAGTGAGGTGACTGGCTGCTGACCACAGAAGCCAATCTAATTGGTTTAATGAAAAAAAAAAAAAAAAAAAGATTTGTTCAAAGATATCACACAGTTCACAGAATCTCCGGGAAAGCCAGAGAGTTGGCTATGCATCTGGGAATAATGCTCAAAGAGCGCAGTAGGACTGCTCATCAGAGGCTCCCCCTGCCACTAGCTCGGGTCCCAGGCTCCACGCAGAGGCGGGGCACTGGGCACTACTGCTTGACCCTCTGCCACGAGCTTGCGAGATGTGGAGCACTGCCATCACCTTACATTTAACCCTGGCCTCAGCGCTCACTATGGTATGAGGGAGACAGAAAAAAATTATAAAGCTGCACTTTGCCAGGGACAACAGTGAGGAAAAGTCAAGGGAGACGCATAAATCAGTCTGAAGTGTCAAAGAGGCCTCCCCAGTGGCAAGCTTAATCTGAATTACAGAAGAGATTTCCAGGCAGATGTAAGTGCAAAGGTTCTGGGGCTTGAGGAGCCAACCACGAAAGGGGACAGAGAGCAGGGCAGCATGACGGTGGGGGTGTACAGGGTGCAACTGAGGAGCTGGAGAGGGAGAAAAGGGCAGGGCAGAGAGGGCTTCATGCCAAAGAGTTGAGACCACTGAAAGACTTTGGAAAGTTCACCCTGGAGGCATTGAGGAAGATGTACTGGAGGGGGTGAGATGGGGTAGGAGAGTTAAGAGACTATTGGAGCAATCCAAATGAAAAATGGTGAAGGTAGAAACTACAGCAGGGCACTTTTAAAGAGGATGGCACTGATCCCAGATATATTAAGGAGTAAAATGAATGGCAGCTGGGGACAGAAAGAGAGGACAGGGCACTAGAGAGAGGGATGGGAGTCTAGAATAACTCCCAAGTTTTCTCTTGGACAATGAGATGATTGCTGTTGCCATTGATTGAAGAAATAAAGGAAACAGAGAAAGAGAAGCAGGTTTCATTGGTTAAGGATATTTTGAAGCTGTGAGGTCTATGGGAGCCTAGGAAAGATGTACATAGCATGCAGTAGGAAACAAGAAACTGAAAATCAGTCAGAGGTCTGGAAGTAGCCAGAAATCCAACCTAGAGAGACCACACACCTGAATTTATCCTGATGGTCTAAAACCCTGCAGTCCCACCCAAATGCGTTCCTTCCATCCTATCCAGCACATTCTCTCTGTATGCTGAGTGATCTTACATTCTACCCACAAAGATCACTTGAAAATCTCTTCCCTGATTGCTGTGCTTTGACTACTGTGTTCCCCCAAAACTCATGTTGAAATCCTAATGCCCAATATGATAGTAATTAGGAAGTGGGGTCTTCAGGAGGTGCTTAGGTACTTAGGAGGGTGGAGGCCTTAAGATGGGGATTAGTATTTTATAAAAGAAACCCCAGAAATTCCACCCCCCTTCCATCATGTGAGGACACAGAGAGATGTCAGTTGTCTGCAAACTGGAAGAGAGCCCTGCCCAGAACCTGACCACTCCGGCACCCTGATCTTGGATCTCCAGACTTTGGAAGTGTGAGAAATAAACTTCTGCTGTTTGTAAGTCACCTAGTCTGTGGTATTTTGTTAGAGTAGCCCAAGCAGACTAAAACACTGATCAAATTTGCCTGATGATAGAATACCTGAAATGGAAAGCCGTTATCTTGAATATATCATGGAACCAGCCCATGCTTATAGATCTGGTGCAGCCATCTCTTGTCCTTCACATTGTCCCTAGTTTGAAAGCTATTCATGCTATTAATTTCTTTTCTTTTTTTTTAAAGGCAGAGCCTGGAAACTAGCACTTATTTCCCCTTAACTTGAGCCCTTTTTAGAAACCAATGTTCTCGCCTCTACACTGGGCAAAGATTGATCATTATGGCTGGCATGGTTTCACCACTTGGCATTTATTTTCATCACAACACTGCTTGGGCCATTTGATGGGACATTGGAAAAGACTAAAAAACAGAAACTGCCCTTGATCATTTGTATTTTGTTGATTTCGTATTGTTTCAAATAACACAGAGGATTCTACTCTCCAAGCATTCTGTGTTAATATGTTACATTTAACCCCAATACATTTGGCATTCTTACTCATTAATATCATCATGTTCCTTGATGTCCATGACAGTGAAGAGACCATTCGGGGTGTCCAGAAGGTGTTTCTGACTGACTAAGCTTATAACTGGACTGGAAAGCTCTGTATAGAAAACACAGCCTAGTCTCAGCCACCCAGAAGATCCCATTCCAAGGCACATGTATCATGCAGACAAGAATTAGCACAAATACAGCATATTTTATATTTTCATAATTTTGTTTTGATAATATTGACTAAAATTGCTTTTCCCAATTCCTCTTCCTTTTTTTTTCTCCTCTCACTACAAATGTGTCTTGTCCTCAGTATTCCACTGAAACTTTTCTTATGAAGTTTACCGTGACTCCCTGTTACTAAATTCATTAATCAATATCGGGTCCTCATCTTCCTCCACACCAGCCAAATTGATGGTTCTGCTGTTCTTAGACACACTGCAATAAAGCACCCTCTAGCTGCACTTGGATGACCCTTCTGAGCCTCTTTTGCCACTTCCTAGTTCCCCGACCTCCTACAACTTAGACTTTGTTCTGCTTCTCTACATACTCACTTTTTAGAGGATCTCTTCTAGTCCCATGGCTTTAAAAGTCATTTCTATGCTGATAACTTCTAAATAAATTTCTAATCCTTGTCCCACCTCTGAACTACAAATTCAGAATAAGTTTCTCAAACATGTGTCTAAAATTAATTTCCTAAATTTTCCCTGAAATCAACTCCTAGAATCCTCCCCATTTCATTTAGTGAGAACTCACTACCCTAAGTGCTGAAACCCAAACCTTAATGTCATTGATTTCTCTTTCCTTCATTTACCATACTCAATCCAACAGTAATTCCTGTTGGCTCTACCATCAAGTTCTATCTAGAATGTGACCACTTTCACACCTCCACTACTCCTTCCCCGGGCCGGTAAGACAATAATGTCTTACCTGGTTCATTACATCCTAACTGGCTTCCTGGCTTCAGCTCCTGCCCATCCAGTCAAAGTATATCTAGACAACCTAGCCATTTGCTAGCAGGAAAGACCTGGAAGTTGTGGGTTTGCAACCAACAGTGTCTGTCACAATAATAACAAGATTTGCTGATTAGATGAAAAGTGCCCTGTAAAGAGGCTCTTTTCAAACCTTTTATGCTGTTAGGAAGAAAGGTTGGAAGGGGGTCATCTAGAAGTTAACATCATATGACCAGTCAGGGCTGGCTTCATGTCCGTGAATCCTGTGCCCACGTACAAGGCACTGAACTCAGAAGTCTTTCACATTTGCTCTAATGCTCTCCTGTCATCACCTTGAAATTCTTCATGATTTTTGAACAAGGAGCCCTGCATTTTTATTTTGTACTGAGCCCTGCAAGTTACATAGCCAAACTCTAGTATCTGGCAGCAGGAATTAAGGGGGAAAAGTAAATCTTGGAATTACTGCAGCAGAACAACAATTATCTAATGATTGAATATGAAGTGAATGTAAAAATAAAACTTAGAATCTTGTTTTCTGGAAAGATGGTGATGATTCCTACGGGGAACACAGTGGAAAAGGAAATTTGTTTCAGAGAAAACGAGAACAACTCTATCAGTGCAAGGAACTGGAGTTTGAGAATTTAATCTCTAAAGAGAGTTGAGACATCGAAGACTAAATCTGAAACCTCAGAGCAGAGGCTGTAGTTAAGGTATAAGAAATTAGAGGAGATCACCAAGGAGTGAATGTATAGAGAAAAGGAAAAAAAAAAAAAAAGGTTTTGGGGCTTCAGTAACTGAGGGTTGGAATCAGGTTACTACATTCTCTCTTTTCTTGTGGAATATTTATCCACTTATGGGAGAATTTCTCTGAAGACTTGAAAGAACCAAACCTGGTTTAAGGGTTTGGGTGGTGGAATTAGGTGGGACCACAGAGGTAATCTAATTGAACACCCACACTTTAGAGATGGGAAAACCAATGCTTCAGAACACATAAAAAAATTTCTATGTTCCCTTTTCTGAATGTTTTGAAATGTGCATTTCAAAATTATCAAACATGAAGAAAAAAATCTTTGGCATCTCGTGAAGGTAGAATTAGCCCCTAGTTTGGATACTGCTATATGACTCCTCTGTACTTTGACTCCTTCACGGGAGAAGGCTGACAATACCTCCAGGGCACAGGTCTCCCCTTCCTCCACTGTGGCAGGCAGATCACAGCCCAAGGGCGCCTGGCTGAGGGTCGAAGCCTGGGGTTGGGCTACATCTGTGTGTCTGCCAGGAGAGACTTCTTTTTCTGTTTCTAACTCACCTGAAGTCTGCATCCCAGTAAAGCGGTGTTCTGAATGTGAGATGATGTGAAGTACATGGCACAGAGTAACTTCTCAGTAAAGAGGGACAGAATTCTTAAGAACTCTTTAGTGCACATTTATTATACTTATGAAGCTTGTAACAAACACAAAACGCCAAACTAGAATTTACTGGTAATTTTAATAAGAAAGGATGCATCTATTCCCAAGACTTGCGATACTGCCCTGGAGCTTACCGTAAAATTCTAGGAAATTTCCGGGATACTAACATAACCAGATATTTATAGCTCTGGTAAAAAACTACTGCAATAATTATTTAAGGATTCTGCACAGCGCAGGGAAAAAATACTGAGAAACTTCACCGGAATTATCAAATTTCAAAATATGGTCAGCAGAAAAGCAGTGATTTCCAATTGGTTTTTTTTTTTAAACTGTATTCAAGTGTAGAGTAGAATACCGTTTCTTCCTTATCAAGAAAGAAAACTTAGTTTTTATTATCAAACCAGTTTCTTCCTCCAGAATTTCTAAACGAGATCTCGCTCATGCTTGCCAGTCAGGCACCACCACCTCGTCCTTGGGTTGAGCCGTCCGGCTCCCGCTCCCGCAGCCGCGGCCACTGCGGGCAGAGGACCTGGCGAGCACGCGAGGAGGTGAGATCCGGATTCCGGTCCACGTGTCACGCAGATTCGCGTTTTCAAACCGAAACTTAGCTGGACCCCTCGCAGCGCTCTCTGTAAGGGGCTAAAGGGAACTCATTTCTTCCACGGCTTCCACACCCAGAAAAGCTTGTCCCTACGAACGGGCGGGGGTGGGGACTGCTGGGCTGAACCCCGACAGGTCGACGGGGGGGTCTTCACTTGGCTGCCCCCTCAGGCAGAGGCGCGCCCTCAGGCAGGGCGGAGGCGCGCCGCGGGCAGTGCTTGGACTGGAGTTCGCAGCCCCTACGCCGCGCTCCCGCTTCGCCGGCCTCTGACGCACCACATTTGTGCGCAGGCGCACAGTGGGGGCCGCGGGCCCAGGCCAGCGCGTGCGCCATGCCGCGCGTCTTCGCGACGGCGCCGCCTCCCGGCCAGAGCTGAGTAAAGGCGGTGAGGGCCCGCCTCCCAGCTCTGAAGGAGGCGTGGGCATGGAGCCGGCTGGGGACGCGGAGCCCGGGGCTGGCGCCGCTGCCTAGGGCGCCCCGTGGGCTCCTTGGGGGCACGGCCCGGTGCTGCGCGGATGGCCCTGCTCCCGCGGCCCGCGTTCGCCCTCGTCCTCCTCCTCTTCCTGCCCGCCGCTCTTAGGTGCCAGGAGCAGGCCCAGACCACCGACTGGCGGGCCACCCTGAAGACCATCCGGAACGGCGTTCACAAGATAGACACGTACCTGAACGCCGCCTTGGACCTCCTGGGAGGCGAGGATGGGCTCTGCCAGTATAAGTGCAGTGACGGTGAGAGGGAGCCCAGGTCCTGCGAGGCCCTCGCTTTCAGGGTGTTGCGGGGACGGAGGTCGTGGAGGTGTGGGAGGCAAGGCAGACCTTGACGTTGTCCTCTAGACGTGGAAAGACTTAACCACTGCTAGGGTCTTACCATTCTTGTGATTGAGCAATCAGGTTAGAAGTTCGCACCGCTATTGTTAGCCTATGGGAGGTCACCTGAGGTGTACTCTCCGTTCTGTTTTCATTGCTTTTGAATCACTACGTTTTCTTTTTCTCTTTCTTTTTTTTTTCTTTTGCTATTGCACGAAGTTGCCTCAGAACTTTGTGACGTACGCATCATGGGAATGGAGTGGAACAGAACGATTTTAGCCCTATATTTTAGCACCGTTAGTCAGCCGAACATGCAGAATATACCGAGAATTGTAATCATGACGTTTTACCTTTTTCAAGAATTGCTTTTAATTTTTTTTTTTTCCTGCAGGGCCACAGAAAATGAATTGCGACCTTTGTACAGACTTCTGGTGTACTCTATTGTTGAGAAAGAGTTCTGATAATTCTTCTAGAAATTGTCTATCACTTGATAGGAATTTTCTTTCCTTGGTTAATACTACTAAAATTGTTTTGATTTACTTTTCATATTTTTTAACTTTAATTCTTTTTGAATCTGAGAACTTGTTTGGTGCCATCGTTGGTAATAATAAACTCAAGGTCTTAGCAGAGATCTTTTCAAGCACTTGCTTTTTTTGAATGTTTAAATATTGTAGCAGCTCAGGTAAAGTACTCTGGCTTCTCTTTGGAAATTCAGAATTTTAAGATTTTGATTGGGAGGTCATGTTTCCAATAAGAGTAGACAAAGTCGGGGCCTAGTTCATTTAGTGCTTGGCACCTTAAAGTAATAGGGAACTCAGTGACTAATGGTAAAACCAGATTGCATGGAGGTGAATTTAAAAGAAATCTATGTCATGTAAAACTGGGATGCCACTTGCTGCCTGTAATTATCAAAATAATTTCTAGTTTTATGTTAATTGAGGTAAAGAATGAGCCATATCTCGTATGTTATGAAGTGCAAAATGTTTCCTTCCTAAATTTATGCCTAAATGTTACCACCAGTATGCAATCGGGAAGGATGTTGTTATGAGAAATAAGTGAATTATTTGAAAATTAAATGGTTGCCTTTCCTGAGGCAGATGTCATAATTTTACTTAGTCATCCCCATTCGTTATACAAATATCTGAGTGCCTTTTACGTCTCAAGTGTTCTACCAATTGGAGATTGAGCAGTAAACAAAACATAAAATTCCTTTCCATGGAGTTTACATTTTGGTGGGGAGAGACAGTAAACTAAAAAACAAGTAAAATAAGCCAAATATGCAGTATATGTAGGTCTGAAGTTTGCCAGTCTTTTGAGAACAATAGTAAAAACAGCAGTGGCAGTGTTAGGAGGCAGTTTACTCATTTTAAATAGGTTGTTCAGGGAAGGTCTCACTGATAAGACAGCATTTGAGAAGAAATCTGAAAATGCTGAAGGTGACACTGTGATGATCTGGGGATAAAACCCTCCAGGCAGAGGGAGTGGCCAGTGTGAAGGACCTGAGGAGAAAGGCCAGTCAAGGATGACACCGAAGATTTTGGCCTGAGCCAAAGGAAGGATGTGGTTGCCATTTACTGAGATAGGAAAGGCTTAGAAGGAGCAGTCTTCATTAACTTGTGATGAGTCAGGGGTTCTAGAGTTTATTTACATTTAAAATAGCTCTGAAGTTGAATGGATACTGTTCCTATTATAAAGATGACTTTAATCTTTTGTTTTACTTAACCCTTTTTATCTTCAACAAGCCTCACTAAATTTAGCATGTGGAGTCTCAAGCAAGATCTCCAGCATAAAAAAAACATAAATGAACTTGAGAATTTAGGAAATGGTATGCTTCAGTGAACATCCTTTTGTGTCTTAGTAAATGCTGTCTTCTCATAGAAGTGTGGTTCCAAGTCACCATGTTGATAATTCCAACATAATGAAAATTGTTCTTTAATTGCTATTACTTGAGAAGTCTCCCTGGAGCACTGTTTCAACCTTTCCCAGATTTTGGAATGCAAGTGATCAAATCAGAACCAAACAAACAGACAAATCCCAAAGCTAGAGGAGCATGGCAATTAAGGAGTGTTTAATAGTTGCAATAAAAGGTAAAGGGATCTTTAAAAAAGACTTGGTAGTAGGGAGAGGGTGATCAGATTAAAGGGCACTCACTTGTTGCATTCAGTTATCTTTGTTTTATCAAAAGGATTGGCTTTATGGAGACTTGCTCCCTTCTGGCCATCCTCCCTCTGGTGAGAACAACACTTTATTGAGATTGAAGTAAGGTTACTTAGGGGAACAAATTAGATGGTTGCTATTTTTTTTTTTTTTTTTTTTTCTCCCTGACAGCAAAGAAGATTTGAGAAAGAAAACTTTCTGATTTCTTTTGAAAAATAGAAAACAAAATTGGCTTGTAAAATGCTTTAGAATTATGAATAGGTAACTCATTCAGTGATTTATGTTTTAACAGGATCCCTTTGGCTGTTGTGCAAAGGATAAAAAGAATCCAGGGAGGTGGGAGAGCAAGAATGGAGGCAGAGTGACAGATGCAGGAATTCAGACAAAAGATGGTGGTGCTTTTGTCCAGGTTCATAGCAAGAAAGATCATGAGAAGTGGTTGGATTTGGGGATATATTTTGAGGGAAGAGCCTGAAGGATTTGCTTATAGCTTGGAAGGAAGGTGTGAGTAGGGTAAAAAAATGATTCCAGAGTTTTTGGCCTGAATGATTGGAAGGATGGGGTTGCCATTAACTGTAATAGGGCAGACCATGGAAAAAAGTCACTAGGAAAGATAATAGCATATTTGTATGCTTTTGAGAATGATTCAGTAGAGAATGAAAACACTGTTGAGGGAGAAATGAAGGAGAATTATTGGAGTCAGGTCCTTAGGTAAGTGAGAGGAGTGGGTTCCAGTGCATAAATAGATTGGCCAAGAGCATGGATGGCCTATCCCTATTAATAGGAACAGACGTAGAGGATATGGGCACAGATGCTGATTAGGTGGATAGATGTCCAAGTTCTCTTCCCATCACTTCAGTTTTCTCAGTGAAGTAGGAATCAAGGTCATCAGCTGAATGCGAAGATGGGAATGGAAGTGTTGGAGGTTTGAGGAAATTAGGAGAGTGAATGGACTAGAAAAATAAAGTAGCACAAGGGCTCTCCGAAGATTAAATCATGAATTAAAATCTCAAGTGTTTAGGAAAGCAGGTTTGAATTCTACACTGCACAGTGTATAATAAAGCACAGTGCTAAGATCTTTGACCCAACAGCCTTCCCTTTCTGTTTCCCATCTGCTTCAGTGTCATTCATGTGAAAGAAATTCATCTGTTGGGAAGTATTTACATCAAATTTTTTAAAAAAATATGTAGAAAAGATCTATCGTTACCTCAGTCCAGGCAAATCTTTAGATTTTATCTGTCCATACAGATGATAAAGCATCAAGAGAGGAGCATTTGCCTAAGTCAAAAAGTAGAATCAATGAATAGTATTTCCATGTAGTTGTACCCAGTGGATTTGGTTTGTTTTTTAAATTCTTCTCATCTCATTTTTGTTCTTAGCTTTCTGTATTTGCTTACAAATTTTAGTGACTCTGATACATCATGGATTTTGGTTTGACTTTGATATTGCTTCTTCTGTTACTCAGTTTTTGCTTGCTTTGTGTATTAGTCTGTTCAGACTCCTGTAACAGAATACCATAGACTGGGTGATTTAAACAACAGGAAGTTATTTCTTAGAGTTTTGGAGGCTGGAAAGTCCAAGATCAAGGTTTGGCCAATACTGTTCTATAGTGAAGGTTCTTTTCCTGGCTTGCAGACAACTAACTGCCTTCTTACTGTTTTCTTACATTGGGGGTCGGAGAAGCAAGTTCTCTGGTGTCTCTTCCTTGCTCTACTCTCATGACCTTATCTAAACCTAATTATCTTCCAAAGGCCCCATCAGCAAATGCATTGGGAGTTAGGGCTTCAACATAGGAATTTTGGGGGGACACAGTTCAGTTCATAAGCACTGTGCAAAAATTGGCACTCAGTAGAAATGCTAAATTTTTTTAATGTTTAGCATCTTACAATACCAGTTATAACAACATTTAAAATGATATTAACATATTTATAATTTTTGAAGTGCATAGCAACTTAATCTTTAATAAACAACTTTCTATGTAACTTGTCTTGCTCAGAAATAGTAATTTCAATTTAAAGGTGAATTTAGAACTTCAAAACACTTTAAAATGTTTTGGGAAATCTGTTATTTCCCAGTTCTCTGGGGTTTTTTGGGTTTGGGGGGTTGTTTTTTTGGTTTTTGGTTTGTTTGCTGTAGATAAAGAATATTTTAATTTCAGGAAGGAATTTCCCCATTTTTTTCTCCAGTAATTTCACAGGTGCCTACTATGTGCCAGGCATCTTCTAGGTGAGCAAGACAAAGTTCCTGTCCTCATAGAAACTGATTAATTATGGGGAGGTGGGTGGGAGGATGGACATTAAGGAGGCCATGTTTGGTAGTGAGCACTGGGTGTTATATGCAACTAATGAATCATTGAACACTACATCAAGAACTGATGATGTACTATATGCTGGCTAATTGAACATAATAATAAGAAAAAAACAAAAAAGAAATTGGCTATTATGTTAATTTGGTCAATGAATGTTAGAAAGAAGAATAAAACCAACCAACGGTATGTGGAGTGGTTATGGAAGGAGGGAAGGGGCACTGTCTTAGATGGAATGAGCGCGGAAGGCCTCTCTGATGAAGTGACATTAGCACATTCCTTCAAAAGCCAAACAAAAACCAGTCACCTGCTCCCTTTGCCACTTATGCTCGGGAGCCAGTTTTATCAGCATTTATTTTATGGTGTTATTATTCAGTAGTTCATGTGCAGTAGGTCTTGGTTCTCACTGCATTTTATCGGCTTCCCTCCTGAGAGCAGTTTTAGACACTGGCTCTGTTTGAAACAACTGCCTCCCCCATCCTCCCGCCTCCATTTTCAGTTTTGCTGACACATTTGCTTCTGTACCATCTCTGTTCCTCTCCATTCTCCTGTAGTAGGCAGGCTTTGATTTGTTTTGGTTTTTCTCCCTGACTTCACTTGCCTCTGATCATTCTCCCACTCAAAGGTAATTATCTTTTACAAAATGAGAAAATATGTATATTAGTACATATATATGTACATACCTATGTATCATTGTCATTACATACATCAAAATGTTAAAAAGTGTTGTATAGACTCAAAATCGGAAGAATCCATAGATTTGTATAAAATACAAAGGGAAGGAAAAATAGAACTGCTCCTGTAGTATAAATATTGAAACATTGAGGGAAATATCTTCCCAATAAAAAAAAGTAGACACTTGATATTAGAAACCCACATGCCTTTAAAACTCTAGGCCCGGATCAGTTGTCTGAGGGAGGTAATCTTTGATTCTCATGGAAGAGGGATAGGTACCAGAAATCTGGAGACTGGCAGATGGGGAATATACAGGGTATCCAAAAAGTTGGAAACAAGATAAACAGTATGTTAGTTACATCCTCAAGTAATGTGACCAATATGTGTTGCTTCAACCTTTAGAAACCTTTTTAAGTGATAGATTTCTAAATTGATAGCAATAAGTCCAGTCGTTAACCTGAAAAATATGTTTAGTAAGTACACTACTTATCCTGTTTCCAGACTTTTTGAATACTCTTTGGCTTATTTATTGTACTTTTTTCAGATTAAAAATTCAACCCATTGCTTAATGTCTATTGCTAGATGAGTTTCTAAACATTTTGAACCGTCGATTGTTAAAAACCCCTGACGAGAGAGCATCATGATGAAGCTTCCAGGAACTAGAATGGCTTCCCCAAGAATATCATGCTGATCCAGCTTCCCTGCCATTCAGTGAAGAGATTTCTGGTGTGGTAGGACAAAGAAAACCATAAATCAGATGGCTAGTTTTTCATGACATTCCCATGAGAAATGTAAGCTGGGTAAAACTTGATTTAAATGAAGTCACAACTGATTGAGTGGTCTACCCAAAAGGTTGGGTTGATGACTTCATGGCTGCTTATAGAGAGGGCTTATCTATGGCAGGGTGTTGCGGACCTCTGCCTTGATTAATATCTGTATCTCAAATTTGTGAATGTCTGGGAGCAACACTAATACTGGGTGAATAGCCCTAAATTTAAACTGTGCTGAATAGTCTTGAATGATGAGCTAAAACTAACAAGACAGAATTTCACAATCTAATATTTAGGCTCAAAATTTAAACTGTAGAAGTGCTGAGTCTCTAGCAGTAGAGTTTATTTTAGAAAGAACTGATGGTTTTTTCCTACTGTCCGATGTATCTTAGAACTGAGACACAGCTAAAATATATGCTAACCATCTTAAGTTCTATTAATACAAGTACTTTATCTACTTCAAAATAGGCCCATCACACCTATTGGTGTTCAGTTTGGGATGGCACATTTTAAAGAGATGTGACAAACTAGAAGTGATCAGTCTTCGGAGGTTGATTAATGCTCCCCAAACTCAAAGGAGACTGAAGGATAAGCAGCAGTACCATGAGTATTAGAACTGCCACAGGGAATTGCCTTCCAAGTCACCTGTTCATTCATTCATTCATTCATTCATTCATCAACAAATATTTATTGAGAACCTAACCATATGCTGGGCACTGTTGGAGGCTTTGAAGGTATGAAACACAAATTCCTGCCTTCATGGAATTTGTATTTTAGTATGGGGAGACAGATAAAAAGTAAGTAGGTTAATAATATAATGTTTGAAGGTTATAACGCGTGCTACAAATGGTATGGTCAGAGAAGGCATTGCTGAGGAAGTGAAGGAATTACTATGTAGATACCAGGAGTAAGAGCATCCACATAGAAGACCGCAGGCTCAGTGGCGCTAAGCCAGGAGCGGACTTGCAGTGTCTGTGGAACAACGAAGAGGTCAGATGTGATGGGATGAAGTGAGAAAGAAAGGAGGAGAGGTGAAAGGACTGTGGGAGATGAGGTCAGAGAAGTCACAGTGTGTTGTGTGTGGGTGCAGATTATATAGAGTTTATAGGCACTGGAAAATGTTTGACTTTTATTCTGAATAAGATGCGAAGCCATTGGAGGGCTTTTGGCAGAAGAAAAACTTCATCTAACATTTTTATTTTATTTTTTTTTAAAGATTTTATTTATTTATTTGACAGAGAGACAGCGAGAGAGGGAACACAAGCAGTGGGAGTGGGAGAGGGAGAGGCAGGCTTCCTGCGGAGCAGGGAGCCCAATGCAGGGCTCGATCCCAGGACCCTGGGACCACGACCTGAGCTGAAGGCAGACGCTTAACTGACTGAGCCACCCAGGCGCCCCGATCTAACATATTTTAATAGGATCACTCAGGTTTGGTGTTGAGAATAGACAATGGCTGGAGGTGGTGTGTGGGGGTGCTGTGGAGTGGGGAAAGTCAAGTAGGGAGACATTAGGAGGTTATGGCAATAATCCACAGTGGCTTGGAGCAGGATGGTAGCAGTGGAGGTGGGAAGAAGTGATTAGATCCTGAATATTTTGAAGGTAGAATCAACAGGACATGCTGTGGAAATGGATGTGGGATATAAGAAAATGAGAGTATTAAAGATGGCTAAGGTTTTTTCCTGAGCACTGGGAATGTTGGAATTGCTTTTATCTGAGAAGACAGAACTATGGATGGAGCAGATCTGGGGATGAATATCAGGAGGTACCTCTTAAGTCTGAGGTGCCCATTAGATATCCAGGTAGTTAGTATATCCTCCCTCTGTGGGCCCTTTTAAGTGGAAAGCCAAATCATAAACAGTTTTCTTAAGAATGAAGGACCAAAAGCAGGAATTGAAGGATCACAGTGACTCATCCATGATAGCTTGAGGTATGTACCTTCATTTTCCAAGGGCCCAGAAACAACCATCCTTCTTGGGCAGTGCTAGAGAAAGAAAACCGACTTCTGCCATTGGCCTCCTCATTCCTTAATCCATCATAACCATTCTCTTTGTACATACTGTTCTTTAGACTGGGTGGAGCCAGCTAAAGCTTCATGAAGTTATACTCTCTTTAGGCTCTAGTTCATCACTTCAGCCGAGCATGTGAGTCTTAGCAACTCACTTAAACTATTTTTAGATCCTTACTTTGAGTGGGTTACTTATTTTGATGATTGATTACTGGAAGGGTTTCTTTTTTTCCCCCTCACTTTACTTTTGGAGGGTAAACATCTTTATTTAAGTCTTCTAGTAATAATTATTAGTTGACTTAAAGTTGGTAGATACTTTGTGTTTTTCCTAAGTAAGGAACTATGGGGAGATATTTGGAATAACGGGATGTTTTGCTTTTAGAATTGAAGATAAACGGTAGTCCGAAATGTTGGAGGGTTTATCCTGTAAAATTGTAATTGGTTTGTTTTGTGTTCCCCAGGGGTAGAGGATTGCTCATAAGAAAACAAGAAAGAATTTAACAGTTAGTGCCACTCCACAATGGAATAGGCTATTTCTTGATACTGTAGGAGGATTGTGGGAAACATTCAGGAGAAAGTAGGTGACTGGTATCTTGAAGTGATTTGTATATTTCATGAGGACAGATATTTTTGAAGTACTTTGCAGCAGTTAAGATTGCTGTGATAATGTCATCTTTCTCCTGGTTACTGAACCATTGTCTCTGTTAGGGAGAATAGAGCTGGAGTAAGATGGTTCACCAAGCTGTCTTTATTCCTGACCTTTTTCCTTAGCTGGCAAAGAAGTGTATTTGCGAAATGGTTGGTTGGAGTGCAGGCTAGAATGTGTGGTTCTGTAATGTCTTATAATGGCATTGAGGCAATTAAATGTTTGTTGGATGACCTTATCTTCCTTAGCTTTAAGCTCTATGAGTAAACTTGTTAGTTAATGGTTATTGAGGTTTGTGTGCAGTGGAGTACTGGCTGAAGACTGGGAAGATACAGTTCTTGCCTTATAAGTTTTTAACCAAAAAATGTAAGTATTAAAATGTACAGGGAAAGAGGGTGGATTTATCTTTCATACATATGGACCCAGTCTGGCATATAACCTCTGAAATCTCCTGAAGTCCAGAATAAGCTTTTGCATGTTTTGTATGGTATAGGCTTAGAATAATGACATTCACTTATGTCAGTACCCAAATATTAAATATTTCCAAGGCTAGTCTAGTAGTACCTCATAGACCTTTTTGCATGTTTTTTATATTTGAAAATTAATTATGATACCATTTATATTTTATAGGATCTAAGCCCTTCCCGCGTTATGGTTATAAACCCTCCCCGCCGAATGGATGTGGCTCTCCACTGTTTGGTGTTCATGTAAATATTATTATTTTCTTATTTGAGAAGTTTTATGATCAGTAGGCTATGTAGTACTCTTTTTTTAAGATTTATTTATTTATTAGAGAAAGCATGCACAAGCAGGGTGGGGAGGGGCAGAGAGAGGGAAAGAGAGAATCTCAAGCAGACTCCCTGCTGAGTGTGGAGCCCAGCAACCAGCTCGACCCTGAGATAGTGACCTGGGCCAAAATCAAGAGCCGGTTGCCCGGCCGACTGAGCCACTCAGGTGCTCCAACTACGTAGTACTCCTAATAATTCAAGATGGTCAGTGTGTTCTCAGGGTCACAAATAATTTTGCTTATAATGTTAATTAGGTTTATTATATTCTTTTATAGCTAAAACACATTTAATAAGTCCTAACAAAACTAAATGGAATAAAATTCATGTTTTATTTTTTAATCTTGTAGATGTTAATACTATTGAAAAGATATTTCCTCATGTTGCAAACATGTTTTAAAAGTTTGGAGTATAAAAGTAATGCTACTTAGATGAAAAAGTATAGATAAAGCATAATATTTTCTGTATTAAAGCAAAGCTAAGGAAGGTAGCTGTGTTTGTTTTGTAGACGAGGCTGAATCTGAGCCAAGTGTTGTGGGAAAAAAATATTTATGAGTGATTCCTAGACACGGGTTTTGCAATATAAAGTTATTTAAAACAGTTAAAGATAAGTTATAGATTTGAAGGAACAGTATCTTTAGGGAATAGATACTTAAAGATTGAACCACAATAACAAAAACTGTAAGTTGTAGGAGCTTAAAACTTTTAAGTTTTCAGTGATATTTCATATAAAGTAAATTTTACAGGGGGAGAGGTACAAAATACATTGGAATGTCCAAAAACCAATCTTTGCTCTTAGCCTGACCTTTGTGTTTTTGAAACTATGTTTTGTGTTTTGGACAATTGGAAGTTACATTTGTTACCAGCAGATAACTGAATATTGCAAAATAGGGAGTTTTGAGGCATGGCTGAGAGGGAGAGAACATGGGTGCATGCGGGTGAGTGATGGGCAGATGTATAAATAACATGGAAAATATTTGTAGACAAAAATGGATTTGGAAAATTACACAGCAGTCATCGTCCTTGATTTCTAAGTCTACTTGAATGCAGTACTTCAGCAGAGGAGTTTTGAATTTCATCAACAATAATCCATCCAAATGCATCTTGCAGCTTAATGTTGGCATCCCTTCCCTGACAAAGTGCTGCAACCAACACGACAGGTGCTATGAGACCTGTGGCAAAAGCAAGAACGACTGTGATGAGGAATTCCAGAACTGCCTCTCTAAGATCTGCCGGGATGTGCAGAAGACACTAGGACTAGCTCAGTATGTTCAGGGTAAGGATGATCCAGCAGGATGGAGATGAGAGCAGTTTGTCAAGTTTTATTGCCTGACTGCTTTATGTTTCAGTACAGGATTTACCACTGGAAATCTTTTGCTGTGTATTACTATATCTATTGTGACACAGCCCCTTCAATTTTTTGAGATGAGGAGTCATTGACTTTGTCATCTCCAAATGATTTATAGTCATGGAAGCAAAAAGTGTTAGGAAACCTTGGGAAGATGGTATCAAAAAGTGTTAGGAAACCTTGGGAAGAGGGTATGCGAGGCAGAGAAGAATTTATCCAAGAACTTGTGCCCTGTAGTCTATCTCTAATTATCCGGAACCTAAAGTTTGAAACCCTGGATCCAGTGATTTTAAAAGTATAACACAGGATTTATAGTGGGAAGTTCTAGAAGATTTGAGCTTTAACTGTCTCTTCATATGTATCTGTGTCAGGATGGTCCCCAAAACAACTCCCAGGTTTGCTAGGAGGACTCACAGGATTCAGGATAACAGTCTTACTCAGAGCAAAGGGATATGAAGCAAAGTCAGCAAAGGGTAAAGGTGCATCAGTGTTCTCATTTATAAAATACTACCCATCTCATAGAGTTGTCATAAAGATACAATAAGATATTTGTGGAAATATAAATCACTGTACAAATACTAGAAGTTATAAAATCTTTTCACTGTCAAGCCGAAGTATTTATCCTACATCGAAATCGGAAGAGAAGGTGTGAGAAAGGAAACAATACATTTTTAAGCATTTTTCATAAGGTACCATGCTAGATATTTTAGATATGTTTTCCTCAATGTCCACAAAAACCCAAAGAAGTAGGTAGTGGTATACTCATTTTTCAAGAAAGGAAAAGGAGGTTCAAAGAAGTAACTTGTCCTAAGTTGCATACTTCGATTTTAAAACTTGTGTTCTGTCTACTGCAGTATTCCCCAAACAGTGTCATAGGTCTGATTCTGAATTCCCAGTAATAACTGTCAAGGAAGAAGGCTCTGCTCCAGGTGCAGCTTGAACCCCCAGCCTTTGAATCCTTTGCATGCTTTCGGCTGAGGCAGACTAGTTGCACAGCGGAAGCATACATGGATGTATTTCCTGTCTTCTGATCTAAGGACATACCAATGTGGCTAAATGATGAAGCCAATTTCCTTTCAATGCCCTATTGAATAATTATAGCCTTTACACTTCTGTGGTGGTTGTGTTCCTTAATGGCACAGCCTTTTGGAGAAGTTTGAAAATGTCAGGATTTTGCAATGAATGGTTACTTCCTTTTTTTTTTTTTTTAAGATTCTATTTATTTATTTGACAGAGAGAGAGAGACAGCGAGAGAGGGAACACAAGCAGGGGGAGTGGGAGAGGGAGAAGCAGGTTTCCTGGCAAGCAGGGAGCCCAACATGGGGCTCGATCCCAGGACCCCGGAATCATGACCTGAGCCAAAGGCAGACACTGAGCCGCCCAGGCACCCCGAAGAGTTTCTTCCTTAACATGAATATTTGAAACTGGAAGTATTTGGGTGACTAAAAGCTACTCTGTGCTGTGTCTCTGGAAGTGAAGTGTATGAAGATAATCTCACCTGGATGTTCCAGGCTTCTTAGAATAAGAAAAGTAAATCCATTATCTTTTTTATAGTCCTAAAAAAAATTTTAAGCCCTGCTAGAGAAAAAACACTTTTGATTCCTAGGTCTCCCTTCCTAGGCTGAATTGGGATATTGAGAAAGAGAGAGAGAGAGACTAGGGTCCATTTACCTTAAGCATCTTAAATGATGTGTGATCAGTTCTTAGAAGTCATTGGCCGTAATTAAATGTCTTGAGGTTTCTCTGTTTTTAACCTTTATTTTTTCTACACCTAAATATCTTTCCTTCAAATGCAAAATTAAGAGTGTTCTAAGGCATCTTTATAGTGGTATCTTTCAGATAAAAGGGAAAGTAACAGTGATGAACTAATCAGTGTTATTGAGAGAGACTCGTTTGCCTCATAGAAAAAAAATGGGTTGAACAGTTGCAGGCAAACAAAAAAGTAGCTACATGCTCAAGACGCTGACACTGAAAGTCTGTATGTGTGTGCTTCGGGCCTGTGAGGGTTTGGGAGGACGTTGGCGTAACATGTTTAAGTGCCCACCGAGGATGTGCTTGACACTGTGCTGTAACATGTAATGTATGTGGAGGGAGAGCAGTCCTTTGCAGTTGCCCAGCAGTAACAGCACTTTCTTACCTTGCAGCCTGTGAAACCACAGTGGAGCTCTTGTTTGACAGTGTGATACATTTAGGCTGCAAACCGTACCTGGACAGCCAAGGAGCCGCATGTAGGTGTCGCCACGAAGAAAAAAGTGATCTTTAAAGACGATGCTCACGGTTGGTGACAGCAGATAAGGACAGAAGAAGATAGCCTTTGACAAAGAACTACTGTTTTTACAGCATAACGCTGCCTTATTTTTGTGAAAGGATTATTTTAAGACTTTATTTTGACATTAAAACTTCAAACTAAAGAAAAAAGTGGGGGAGGTGATCTTCCTGGATGTTGCTGCCTTAGTGTACTGAATTGTCTTGACCAACCTCAGAAAGAGGTGCATGTTAAGGGGAGAATATTTTAAAAGGAGGAGTCTGTAACTCAGTTTTCGCAACTGTATTTACCAAAACAATGAAGTCAAATGTAAAATTGATTACAAGGTATGTTGAACATTATCTTATTTGGAAATATGGGAAAATCTTCACTTAGAAGTATATGTTTACTATAAAAATTTAAATATACATTTATTCCTGGAAGGCTCTGACTTTATTTTTTCTCTGTTTTAATTAACACATAACATGCTGTTTTCCCATAGCCAATTGAGCACTTCTATTAATGACCAGACTAGTTATAAGGACAAAGTCTCCATGTTTCTTTTTCTTATAAAATTGGAACCATCAGCTGGTGGCCTCTTAGGGAGCAAAACCAGGATATCTAGCTATTATGTAATGTGTCTAGAAGGTGACATGAACAAAAATCAGAAGCACAGCCACTTGGATTTTATGAACCATCCGTATGACAAATATCATATTTTGCTATAATCTTTGCCTAAATTGAAGAAAAGATGGATTTATGAAAAGACAAATGAAAAGTTCTTTCACATACACATTAGAACATTATATGCCGCTATGCTTTGGTGTTCATTCTCTAGCACTTGGTCCTCATTGTAGATTCAGGTATATTTTTAAAAGTCTGTAACCCTTTCCTAATAGTGGTCTTAATAAATATTGTTCTTGATACTTTTTTTTTTCAAGTCTTTTAACTGTGGAGTCAGAAGGGATGGTAAAGCAAGATGCAAAGAACTATCTTTTGTAGATTTCTTATTTACATTGAAAATTACTAGCAGATACTTGAAAGCAAATCCCAGGACCTCCGCTGACTCTGAAAATGTCTCTATGTGTTGGAAGCTTTTGCACCCCTTGGAAAGCGCAGCTGTACTCCTCTACTGCTCTTTGCCTACCACTGGCTGTCCGCTTTCCCTCGCCTACGATCCCAGGCCACAGAGAGCTTGTGGGTAACCTATAGCCACAGTTATTAATATAACTGCTTGGAATGTCAGAGAAGGACAGCTGCAGAAGAAGTGGTTCTTTTTTAAGTCAGTACAGGCAGAAATGGGCAGAGAGAAAAATATGTTCTGGAGAAGGGGCCACATTCCTAACTTTGAATAGATACCATTGCTAAAAACCTAATAACTTCCCAAACTGAGATGATAGAGCTTTTCTGCTAAGAGATGTGTTCTCTATGAGACAAGGCAAGGGTATCCCTGTGACTAATTGAGCAAACTGGGCTCTAACATAAATGTTTAGAACCCTTAATTGATACTTTTCAGACTTTTTAAAAGGTAACAGTTTTATAAGCCATTATCCGTAATCTTTACCAATATTTACTATTGAAATACTTGACCAGGTAACTTTAAACTTACAATAAATTCATGGATTTTCTTGGCAGCATTGGCTTTCTCAAGAGGACAGACTCAGAATTCTATGAAATATTTAATTCATGGTCATAAATTATATACAAAGATCAGTAGAAGCTGTTTTTATATGTTAAGATTTTTATCTTGGAATAATTTTAGATTTACATAAAAGTTGCAAAGATAATACAGACTTGCTGTATACTCCTTACCCCTAATGTTAACATTTTACATAACCGTGAAAACATTTGTTAAGAAACCAACATTGGTAATTGCTATTAACTAAACTCTAGACTTCATTTGGATTGTACTGGTTTTTCCACTAATGTCATTTTTCTTTTCCAGGATTCGATCTAGGATACCACATTGCATTTAGTTATCATGTCTGATAAGCCTCTGGTCTGCGATGGTTCCACAGGCTTGTTTTTCAAAATCTTGACAGTTTTGAGGCATACTGGTCGGGTGTATTGTAGAATGCCCCTCAGTTTGGGCTTGTCTGATGTTTCCCTCAGAATTGGACTGGGGTTATGGATATTTAAGGAAGAAAACCACAGAAGTGATGAAGGGTTCTTCTCAGCAAACTGTATCAGTAGTTGAATGTTATCAACTTGATATGTTAACTCTGAATACTTGGTTAAGGTAGTGTCTGTCAGGTTTCTCCACCGTGAAGTTACTGTTTCTCCGTTTCCATACTTCTGTTCTTTGGAAGCCAGTCCCCAAGTCAGTCTGTGGGAGGTGGGGGTGCGCAAGACTCTGTTCCACCTCCTGGAAGGGGGAGTATCTTTATATAGTACTTGGTATTTTTCTGTAAGAAGGATTTGTCTCCTCACCCCTCCCATTTATTCAATTATTTATATTAGTATGGACTCATGTATATTTCTTTTAGACTTTGGGTAATGTTTATTTTATTGCTCAAATTGTTCCAGCTCGGCTATTGGGAGTTATGTCAGGTTGGCTCCTGTGTGTCTTTAATGTGCCCCCATCCTTTTCATTTTTGAGCACTTCCATACTTTCTGGCAAGAAAGGAGGAATGTTGCTCTGGGCTTGTCTTGTGCATTTCCAGCACTAGAATCAGCCTCTTCTCCAAAGAGCACTGGTTCCTGTTATTGGAGAATGGTTTCTAGTGGAACTTAGAAACCAATATCTGGGTGCTGGATGTGCTCGTTGCTCTTGGGGTGTCACTGCTGCTAGACCCTCCCAGCAAACAGAGCTAGGAAATACGTATGCATGTTAACCCATGTACAATCTATAATGATTTCTGTATGTGTGTGTGTGTGTGTGTGTGTATATATATATATATATTAAGCTGAGCATGAGTTCTTACTGATATCTTCACTTGAATCATGTACCACAGGGCATGTATTTAGATTTTGAGAATGGTATTTTCCCTATCTGTAGAATAAATTCATTAAAAAAAACAAGCAAAAAGAAAACCCCAAAACTAGCTTTCAGCAGCTCTCTGCAAGAAATACAATACTGATATTTTTAAATAAAACTGTATTGCCTTCAAATAATGCCTATGTCTTTAAAACCTTTTGACACGCTTCTTCCAGCAACAGATAAGGCTGTATTCATTTCATAGATAGAGAAACTGAGGCACCAAGAAGCTCTAAGGAAGACAGAATTGAAATAGGACAAAAGCAAACACATCTGGGACAGGCTTTCCTTCAGTGAACCTGTAAACTAGTAATATTAATTAAATAGTTGTTTTCTTAGCTTCTAATTTTCCCTAAGATGAAAATGTGGTATTTCTGTCAGTATTTATAGAAGTACAAGATTATCAGGAAATCAAAATGTATATTATCCTGGTACAAAACAAGAATAACATCTAACAAAATGAAGACAATGGAGTCTCTGTAAGAACAACTATTTAGCAGACTGACTTCAGTAACTTTGGGGTAGAATGAAACCTATTAGGTAAGATTCTTCCACATACATTTCATTGCATTGCTCAAATTCACAGATACTATGCACTGTATTCATTTGGGTCTTGTTATAATAATTGAAGTAGCCCCTTTAGTTTGCTGTTTTTCCTCATGGCTTAACCTTACAAAACCAGCCATCTGCTCAAATCATAAGAGCAAGAATGAGTTAGTGTAACCAGTATACAAAAAATAACTAATAGTTACTAATAAAAATAACTAAAACTGGATCAGTAGTATCCTCTTGGCATATAAGCCATAGTGATGTTAGGCTTTTTTGCCTCAGGCTTATAGGTTTCCAAAACATCCTTTCAAGTCTCCTTGCTGACAACTTTACAAACCTTTTTTGTTCGCTTTCAACTTCTCTTAAGTGTAGGAGTCAGGATAATAGAAATCTAACATTTCTGTGATTTATATAGGGAACACCAGAAGGTTTAGTGGGGTAAACTGAAAAAAAAAATGACCAAAATTTGAGGATCATCTCTGAATTTTATTCCATATGTTTCATTTCTAGGATAGGTGACAGCTAAGACCTTCAGTTTCAGTAAGTTCTATGAAAGGACATTCAAGCCATCTGTCAAGTAACTTTCAGTCTTTAGGGTATCTTAATTATTTTAATAAGATGGATTTGCTTTAGATTTTTTTTTTTCTTCTTTGAGAAGGTAGGATTGGTAGGATTCTAATTAGTCTGTGTCAGTGCATATGAGTGTGCAGTTGAATCACTGGATTCTGGCATAAAAACACCTACTGGGCCCCACCCTCAGCTCCTCATTCAGGAGATATGATTCTATAGGTCCCAGAAGTTTGCATTTCTAGTAAGTTCCTAGATGATGTTGATACTGTTGGCTTAAGAGACCACAGTTTGAAAACTGGTCTAGGTAGTCTTCAGTAGCTAAAAATAATGTACTGAAAGCTTACTGTGGGTCAGGTACTATTCTAGAAGTTTGACAGTTACTGTCTCCAAATTTGAGTAAGCTTGGTCCCCATTTTACAGAGAAGAATTTGAAGCTGGGGGAGATTGAGTTGCATTACTTGCACAATGTCTCACAGCTAAGAAAATGGTGGAGCCAGGGTTAGAATCTAGGCAGCCTGTTTTCCAGTCCTAGGCACTTACCCATTTTGTTGGGATAGCTATTGCTTTAAAATGCTAAAATCACTCATTTATAATTCTGAAATAAGTATCTCAAAATGCTTTGTACTTATGTCTTAAGATAGACAAAATCTTACTTTAAAATATAACCACATACATATGCTATAAAAATACAATTTTCTGAGATAAGATACTTGGGGGGGGGTAACAAATTCCTTTCATCTGCTCCTTTCAGGTAAGTGGGTCAGCTGTTCCACACCTATAAAGGGAGTGTTTTCAGGACTCAAGCAGAGGAGACCCTGAAAATTAGGCAAAAGAACAGGAAGTTCTGGTGGTCAGATAACACGTTCAAACTGGATAAAGTCCAAAGTGCAAACGCTGAAATCCTGGATCTCATTCAATGGATAAATATTTACTGAGCACCTCCTACATGCTAAGCAACTGTGCCAGGTAATGGGGAAACCAAAAGAAGGCCAATCCTTTCAATGAGCTAAAGATGGTGGTAACAGAAGCCAGGCACTGTTTTAAGTAGTCATTTCACTTAATCGTTACAAAACCATATAAGGCAGAGAATGTTATTTCCCGTCTTAACTACAGAATAAGTTACTAAAATAGATTTCTGAAATACACATACAGCGAAATGAACAGTAGTAAATGGCATGGGATGAGGAAAATCCTGATTTCATATTCTAATGACCGAGCACACGTGGGAAAAGTTAATCACGTTAAATTTTATTTTTCTCTCCCCAATAGGGTAATATTTAGACGGATTTCTTATACTTATTTTAATGTATTAGAAATGCCTTAACACATTTTTTTCTCAGTCTGAAGATGGTTACTTCTTAAATGACAAGGCCCAGAGA